TCAGCTGATCGTGACAAACAGCTGATTATGAACATTTCACCTTCTAGTCATAATTGCCATAAATACAAAACAGCTTTCAAATTTAATTGTATTGCCTCATATGTAAAACTATGCTAATAATTATCAAAAAAAAATACATATCCTACTCTACTTTCACTTTTCTTATATGCCATCATCAAAATAAGACACATTCCATTTGTGCTCTAATATGTCACACGAAATATGTAACAATTTCTGGGGGGGAGCACATCCATACAACTGGGGAAAAATGCCATAAAAATACCTTTTCCCACGAAAAAATTTTGTCACAACCAGGCCAAAAAAAATTGCCAAAGTAAAAATATTTGCGAAATCAAAATAGCTACAGTCCGTCCATCCCCCCACATCAAGGGATAGATGTGTGCTGGTGTTGTTGACATGGTTTCATAATCCGTTGTGAATTGAAAGTATGTGCACTCTTTTTTCTTGTGCCAGTTGTGTGAAATATTTTTTTCAAAATTTTTCATTTTTTTGTGAATTGATCTCATTTTGTATGTTAAAAAGTCTTAGACGTACAGCGATTGCATTTAGTTTGAAACATAAATTCGAACATTTCACTTTCGTTTTCTTTCTTTCATTGACAACAATTGAATATTTCTTTATACGGATTTCGCTTGAATAGTTTTGTAGGCATTTTGAATATTGTGGAGCTGCGTTTTTATGGTGACAATTTAAAAATTTTAAATTCGCATATGTTTTATTTGTTTGTGCCTGGCTGGCTTGACTTATTGCCAGCCGGTGGTTATTTTATGAGACGCGCTTGCGTGCGGACAATGCGTAGAATATAAACAATGACCAAAAAACAGTCTGTGTGTTAGTGGGGTGAATATTTTCCCCCACTTTGAAACAATAAATTCAAATTCAAAATGTGTTGAAAAATTGTGATGCTAGTAGCTAGTGAGTGGAAGCCACCGCCGGGGTTACAGAGATTGAATACACAATTTCTTTGTTTTGTTTATGCGCGACATTTGTGGGCCTGCAAGAAGAAATTTCTGAAACCGAAAAATCACACACACAAAGCGTTCGATAATAAATACCCGCGCGCTCATATTACAAAACTAGTGAAACTACTTTACCATCGCCATGGTGGATAAAAGATATTTCATATTTCAAGCTAAGACTGCTAATACATCATACTCCTAAATGAACATTATAATATAAAAATCGTCATTATGATTCTCCAGCTAGAGGTTTTGTCGTCGAAAATAACCAAACACAAAACAAAATATATATTATCATCTTCATGGAGAAAGACAGACAGCAGAAGTCTTGATGTGGTGTGATATTCAAGTGAATTGAATACTGGTGGTGAAGTGATGTGCATTTTTGATCAGCATTTGTTCATTCAGGCGTCAGTCACATACCAAGCAAACCATCTAGCCAGACAGTCATTCACAGCCAACCATCTAACCAAACCGACATACAGCCAAGTCAGATATTAGCCTCTTGCTGCATACAATATTTTTGCACGTCAATTGAACTTTCGTTTTCAATAGAGTTAATGTGCCGCTACTAGCAACTATTTTTTGTGTTTCTTCTTCATCATTCGGTTTCTGGCTAAACACGTAGTTTATAAAAACAAAAAACAAATACCGAGTTTTTTCATTGCAAAAAACAAAAAAAATTCGATTTTGTTGCCACACGCCGCAACAGGTGCAGGCTGGCAAGCTGGTTGGAGGTGCTGCTGGTGATACTCTGGTGCGTGATTGAGTGTTGATTGTAATGATGGCAAAAATCTTCATCACATGATCATCAAATTGCTTGCTCTGCTGATGGCCAAAAATACAAGAAAGTTCAAACACCGGTCGAATCTTTATCGTCGTCGACATCATCATCAGCTGATGGTGGTGGTGGTATCTATCTTATCATCATTGTTATTATCCTTCAACACGTAATGCCGTCACATAACATTCATTTATTCATTCTCCATCAAAGATGTCAATCTGAAAGTTTTCAAAGTCAATGCGTCCACCGGTCGGTGTTGGCGGTTTGGAATAAAAATTGTCTTTGATTTCTAAAAAACTATTGAAATTGAAAAGAGAAAAACTATGGCTGATTGTTTACAAGAAATGTAAGAAATTGCATGTTTCTGAGCTTTCCTTCGTTATTCAATTATTATCTTCACATCCTTAAGAAAGCATGCAGACCTTAATGAAGCAACCTATATGGACTAATTGAATTCAATTATATATTTTTCTGATGAAATTATTATTATTATTATAATTATAATTATTGGTTTATTGCTTAAGTAGCAATACCAACAACAACGTTATGTGCATTCGTCACAAAGTGACGACACATAGCAGTGGGAAATGTATTGTAATGAACCACGCAACCTATATGGACTAATTGAATATTTTGCAAGGTTTTTTTGAGAGAGATCAAGGATCTGCCATATATTTAAATAGTTGTTTTTTATAAAAACAACAAACTAGGATTAAGCTGATATTTTGAAAAACAAAATTGTAATAAAACAATAAAGTTTGAGTTTCAGGACGAACGCATGTCTGTAGGACCAAGTTTACTTGAAATTTTTCCATACAATTATTAGTCTTCACGTTCCAACATGTCTGAAGAGAAAGAAGAAAATAATATTAGAAACTATGAGTTTAAGGCAGGATGACAACAAAAATGTTGCCTTCAATTCCCAAAAATTAGTAGTACCACAGGGGAACACCACTTCGTTATGCATCGTTCCATTATATTCAGCATCAACAAATATATGTATCACAAGGGCTTAAGACCACAAAATTTTATAGTTTAATAAATGGTTATTATTATTATTTAATATATGATGATTATTCTTGGAATTCCATCTTCAGGAGGTAATATTTTCATTAGCAATATTGGCGGAAAAAAGTTGGCATCGTCATCCCCATCATTTATTCACTGAATGAACTAATGAACTAGTTTCGCCAAAAGAGACGATTAGTACAGAGTTGATGTGCTGATAGAAAATCTTGGAAAAAACGGGAAATATAAACTTTACCGCGTAACAGAACATACCAAACGTCGATAAAGGGGAATCTGATTTTAAATTTATTCCAAATCAAGTGCCCCCCCCTCTGCGCAATATATTAAATTAAGATTTAAAATTAATCCCAAAAATGATTATACCATTTTTATAACTAGCTTGAATTTATTTAATAACGCTGACAACCTCAAAATGTTTTGTTGTTGTTTTTAATTTAATTAATATTCTCCAAAAACCATGTTTTCAAAATTATGTATTTAAAATAACCTCAATAAAAACTATTTATACACAAAAAGATTTTGTTATATATTTTCTGTTATTCATTTTTAAATCTATTTAGTCTACTTTTCAATATTTAATACAATACTTGCTCAAAATTTATAGGCTAAACATTTAACTTGTATTAAAAAAAGAAAACTAACCTCAAAAATGCGATATTACAAAAATACATTAATTCAAACAACTTTGACATATTCACAAATATTTGCCGCAAAGTGAATAGAGCAAAACAAAATCATTACAGAGGAGTGCCATTTTATTAAAAAAAAACGCCTTACTAACCCAACACATTGTGGTGGCGAACATGGCAAAATCGACAGTAATTTTTTTTACTCTGATATTGTAGTTTTCGGTTTATTTCGATCACTACAACACAAAATGTGTAATACAACATTATTTTTGTTGGTTGTTGTAATGGTTTTTAGTGGGATTTTGTGACGACCTCCTAATGTTGCAAAAAATCGAAAAAAAAACGCAGACAAAACGCCATAAAACTGTAACACAATGCCGCAAAGTGAGCAGAGACAAAACTTATTTTGAATATCATTGCATTCAGCCACCGTTATGTTGTTATTTCTTTGCATGGTTAAATGTAGGTTTATTTTCAGTTTTTGCCGGTGATAAGACCACGACAGACATACCTTCAATTGTTTTTTTGGAGATTTGGTTTCGGCTTTTGTTGTTTTTCGCAAAACTTCAACAAGCGTACAAAACAAGAGCCATGTTCACGTATTTAGCCTGAGCTCTAATGAACCTTAACCTCTCGGAGGCGACATTTTATTTAACGATTTTAATTTCAACTCTTTTTTTTTTTGGACTTTGTTTCAAAAAAACGCAAAACATAACTACATAGACATGTCATAAATAAATCCATCACAAGGTTGGTTTTGTTATTTGATATGTTTGCTGTTTTGTGCTTCCCTTTCCTCTCCTCGGCTCTCTATCCATAACTGCCTGAGGGTTTTGAGTTTGGAGTTTTTGCGAAATAGTTTTTATTTTTTTTTTCAAAATAAATTCATTTAAATACTAATGTATTAGTGTGTGAGTTTGTTTTTTGTCATAATGCCAATTGTTGTTGACAATAATCGGTCATTATGTTATTAAACTAAATCGTCTTAAGGTTATTTATTTTAATTTCTTAACATGAAAAAAAAACTAATGCCAAGTTTTCACATTAATCATGTTTTAAGTAAGTTTCGTCTTTGTTGCTGTTGTTGTTTTGTTTTCGAGGATAACCAGTAATTTAAATTAAATCAAAAACAAATGATATTTTTTTCTTTGAATTTGTTTAAATGTTGTTTTGCGAAAATGGAGTTATAATTGATAAAAGAGGTTTTGAATTGGCGGCTTTTTATTTAGACTAAATGTCAAGTTATTTTGCATTTTTTTAAGTTCTTTTTTTAATTTCGTCAAATTATTCCCTAATTTCCCAAAAACATATTTTATTTAAAACTTTCTTCATCTCAGGCTTGTCCTTATATATTCCAGTTCTGCTAAATTTTAAAATCATTCCCTAATTTCTAAAAAATATATTTTATTTATCTTCTTCTTGTTTTTAGGTTCAATAAATTCCTGAACCTGTATTCCTCATGAAATACGATTTTATTTTAAATTTTGGAAACCATTTATTTAAAACCTTCGTCATGTTTCTAAGTTTAATAAAAAATTTTCTTCATTTTACTAATCCATAATTTGTTTCTCCTTCTCTCTTTCCAGATGTAATTCCAAAGCATCATATTTACCACGTCAAAGCTTAGAAAAGCAAGCCAGTTCGGATCCAGATCATGGCAGCTATAAACTTACCCTCCACTCCAATGAAGATTTGGTGGGTGGTGCGAATAGCAATGCAAAATCCACATACGATATTATGGCACAAACACAGACACAATCGACAAAACTGCCCAGCAATTTACCCGATGTCCTGCCATTGGGTGCCAAATTGCAGCCCACACAAGCTGAAGCCTCAATTTTGCGTACACAATCCAGTTCCCTGCGATATGGATCGAATAATAATATCGCCACATCACCCACCAATACACAAGGACAACCACAATCATTGAACAGCAACAACAACTGCTATCCAGCATATCCACCATCCCAACAACGTTATTCGACTCCAGTATTGAGTTCATTTAATTTGAATAACAATTTCAGTAGATCTCAATCGTACGATACCCAAGGATCAGTGCCCGCAGGCCAAAGTCCCACCAAATATATGACCCAGTCTTCGTTAGACCTTAAGAAACCCACACTAATGGCCACCACAATTGAGGAACATCCCAACAGTATGCTGGAAAGCACAAGTCTTAAGGAGAATCAAAATTCATCACTCTCATCGTTGAGCTCTCTGTCGGAGAGTTGTGCCAGTCATGAAGAGAGATTGAATACCAGCGGTAGTGGTAGTCTACTGAGTAATACCAGCTTGAATAACAGCAGTAATTCATATCATCATCAACATGAATCATCTGCCTCGTCGGCCTGCTCCTCGGCGGCATCATTGTTTAGAGCGGAATTGGTCAACACAACATTGAATGGCAGTGCCACACAAAATAGCAACAACAACAAGAAGGCGGTAATACGTCAAGAATCTCTAAGGGAGAATATTGAGAAAATCAGTCAATTGCAATCCCAATTGATGTCAGCCCATAACACTGAAAACAATGGGCTATTGGGTCATGGTTATACCTCGTCGCTTTCACCTCATATAAATGCAAATAGAAGTGCTCAGGCAAATGTGATTGATATACCAAAAACCATGGAATTAAATGCCTCGCAAATGATGGAGGATAAAATGTGCAGAGAATCAACACCGCCACCATCACCACCCTCAGGATCACCTCCAACAACACCAGCATTATCATCCTCATCATTACAAGAAGAATCCGCTGATAAAACCAATGAAACCTGCAAAGAAGATTGCGAAGACATAAAATCTAACAACAATGAAATTGAACAGGAAAAAGCCTTAAAGGAAAGTAAAAATAAAACCGAAGCCGCCACCACCACCGAGCATATACTCTCGCAATTGGATTCCAGCACAGATAGCCTAAAGATGGTACAGCGAAGTGAAATCATATTAAGAGTTAATCCTAATACCGTTGAAACTGCCTCACAAACCGATGATATCACCGACAGTGAACTGAAATCCCTGACGGATATGAATAACAGTAAAGATAGCGGTGATACTACGACGGGTAATCGCACAACAACAACACTGCAACCTCGCCAACGCCTGCCCATCGAAGATGAATGTGAAAAATTATCCAAAGAATTGGCCACAATGTTGCCATCAAATGATTCCCTAATACATTTGTTATGCCCACCAGGCAGCAAGACTGTGCACGATTACGTTAGCAATTTGTATAATCCCAATGTACGCCAAAGACCCAGTAAACGTGATGTGGGCACATCGACATTGACACGCCAGCATCATCACAACAAAACCAGGGATGAGGATAATAAGTTGACGGTGGAATTGAAATTGACGGAAATTGAAATAGCTGCCGATAGCTGTGATATCCTTAAAAATAAAGTGGTAAGTTGTGGCATATATTTTTTTGGTTCTACATTTTATTAAATGTTGTGTGTGTGTGTGTTTCGTTTTTTTCAGGATGAATTAATCAAATATTTGAACAATAAAGTACGCATCCTAAGTAAAGAACAAGCTGCCATCGATGAAGAATCAGCCGCCAATGATGATTTGGGCAACAGTTTGCTCAATCAATTGTGTGATAAAGTCCGACCCATTGAAGAATCCAAGTGCCGTACCTACATATCGGACATTGGCCATATCACGGGTTTGCTATTGTCGCTGTCGGAACGTTTGGCCCGCGCCGAAAATCAACTAACCGCTGTGGGTGATAATAATACCGAGAAGGTAAATATTCGAATTTCTTTCTTTAGAGACATCGGAAAAAGAAAATGTGTATACCCTAGACTGTAGGAGGAAATATTCGTCAGAGACCCCATGTCGATAGAGATCGCAATATTTTCAAATAGAACTTTGAAATTTGGTCCATAGTTTGCTACTACTCCTAGGGGATGTTTGGTATTGATATCATGTTGTATTATTGTGAATTGACTTCCATCATGAGAACGTAAAAAAACAATTTTTTGACATTCGACTTGAGAAAATCAGCTGACTGTCGCTAGCAGGGTGACCTTATTAATAGATCTTGATACTCAGTAGCAAAACTGTCAAATCTGCTCTCTCAATTTACTGGACTTTTGGGTAAACGAACAACATTTTGTAATAATTTGTACGAATTATAGAGTAAACCAACAAACCTTATTTCAAATTTACCTAAAACCTAACCTTAAAAAAATCTTACCTTTATACCAATTAATTTCCTTTCTTTTTCTTTTCGCTCATTTTACAGAAATCGTTGGAAAACAAACGTGATCGTCTGCTCGAGCAATTAACTGAAGCTAAACGTCTCAAGGCCGACATCGATCGTCGTGGTGTTAGTGTCAAGACACTGCTGGAGAAGAATTTAACTTCAGATGAATATGCCGATTTTGATTATTTTATAAATATGAAAGCCAAACTTATAACCGATTCAAGAGATATTGCCGATAAAATCAAAATGGGAGAAGAAATCATTGCTGCTCTCAGTGATACTTTAATACAAAGTGATTGTTAATAACAAAAAACAAAACAAAAAGCACACCAAGAGAGAGAAATTGAAAACAGAAATATTTATTTAAGATAATAAAAACAGAATTAAGTACATAAAGTGGAATATATATTAAAAAAAATAAACAAAATAATTAATTCTTTGATAGAATAGAGAGAGAGGATAATGGAACATATTTTGTAAAAGAGTTCTTTAATACTCTTGAAAGTGATAATCCCCTTGTTGTTTTTTGCAAAGAATTGAAGAAGAATCCATTAAAAAGATTTCCTTACTTTCATTTGTTTGTATTGTGAGAGTAGCAAGAGAGATTTTTTTCCATAATAGCAAAACAATTTAAGAATCTACGCACAGTTTATGTACTTATTTCCAATAAAAAAATAAGGTGCTCTTTTCCCCACTAAGCAAATCAAACAAAAACAATATGGTTATGAAAAATAATAAGAAATTTAAAAATTACTTGTATATGAAAAATTGTTTTAAAGAATTTTTATTGTAAGAAATAAATAACACATGGTCTGTAAAAAATCAGGGATTAACAAAGAATGCAAATGACTTTATTCCAATATAAGGAGGTGTTAAGGTACTCCAATATTATAACCTCAAATGACGTCCGTTCAATTTTTTCCTTAAATTTCTTAATATATATATTCTGAAATGTTTAATCAGTATTTCTCTAAAATCATTGAATTTTATAGTTAAGTAATCTTTGGAAAATTATTCAAATCTGTTATCTGTTGTGGAACAGAATTTGGACTGTATTTTAATATTTGAGATTTATCACATTGTGGTTAAGTAATATGACAGGCTCATTCTCAATTCGGACATTTATATCATTTTGAAACTCGTAGCAGTAAGTTATGTGTGGTTAAAAATATAAGAAAATTGTCTGCCATTGCAATTTTTAACACATAACCTTAAAAGTTACACTTCTTAATAATTAGACTGGTCATGGGTATTTCTGTTTGTTATTCGAAATATGCAATGGATTCATTTATGTTGTCTCCACATGGGAATTTAACAAATCATGTGTTATTTATAAAAGCAAATCTCTTATATTTTTCATTTCAAATCATGTGTTATTTATAAAAATAAATCTATATTTTTCATTAAAAACAATTAAAACAATAATTATTATTTTTAAAAAGATACAAATTGTGTATAATTTCTACTTCAAAAAAAAATTGCTGTTATTTTGTTAATTTCTCTGTTTTTTTTTTATATTTTACAATTTGTTTTTCTTTTTCGGCAATGCTTTTGTGATTTAAAATATGATTTTATTAAAAAAATGCATTGTCTGTTTTGCACATGTTTTCTTTTACAAAACGACAAAATCTTTTTCAAGCAAACAAAAAAAAATTCCTTAAACCAATGATAAAAAAACCCCCAAGCAAAAATTGAACTGCACTAGTTCCTTTGGCAAAACCCCCCATTTTTTGAATCTTTTCGTTATGTTAAAGAAAAGTGAATCTATAAATATAAAAAAAATTATAAATATTATTATTTTTTTAATTTTAAATTCATTGTGTTATATATCTTATATTAAATTTTTCTTTTCCTTTTTTAATTATATATATTTTGTTCTTTAATTTAAATTAAGTCACATATATCTCCCATTTATTATTATTATTATAATTTTATGTTTAATATTTTTAGGTTATTACAGTTACAGTATAATATATAATTTTTTTCTTTACTTTTGCATTATTATAATTTTTTATATAATTAAAAAAAATATATCTATGTATAATATTAATATGATATAACTAATATTTAAAATTATATATATTTTTTAAGTTGGCAAACACTAATCGTTTGTTATATGGCATTGTAATTATAAACCAATTTCTAAAAACAACAACAGTAATATTATTAATAATTTCACATTAAATTAAAAATTATATTAATAATAATAATTAAAAATCAAAACTATTTTTCTTTACTTATAATTTTAGTTACTTTATATACATATATGAAACAAAGCAAAAATAAATAAAAAATCAATTGAATTATTTAAAATAATAAATGATCGTGAGTTTTTATTTCGTGTATATCAGTGGGCTTGGAATATTTGAAGAACATACATATCGGAAAAAGGCAGGACAAGTTCCTTCAAAACATCCCTTAAATACGATTTAAGGACCAGCCGACGGCCTTGAGTATTTTGAAAAAAAAAATTGATTAAAAACCCTAATATAGGAAATGTAGTTCTATGCATATACTAGGGGATACATTTTTTTATACCCTCCAAAGTATATTAAATTTGTCATCCCGTTTGAAACCCCTCAAAATTTAAAGAAACCCAGTAAGGGAAGTTCAAAAGTCGGACGGGCCGACTAAGACAAGAGTGGAGAGGAGTTATATCTAAATCTGAACCGATTACAACAAAACATCGCATACATAAATTTGGACCTAATTCAGTACGCTGTGCAAAATTTTGTGCAAATCGGCCTAAATTTGACTCTTTGGTGTTCCATTTACATAAAATCGGACGAAATTATATATCAACGCCTCCGAAGAATAGAAGCTCTCAAATTACATGTTTGCTTATAACTTTGGTTTGGATTGGCCGATGATTACCAAAATTTCAGAGAATTTAAATTAAGGACCGTAGTATTTCATTTTGTACATGATATAATGTTCTGAATGTGCTTGAAATCGCTTGGATGTATTTAAGATATTGAAATTTTGCACAGACATTGTTTGTACTCCTAGGATGTTTGGTATCGGTGCATGTTTTGGTGTAGCCCCCACATAACGGTATCCTCTAATATTTAATATTTTGGGGATTTTGAACATATTTTTCAACCGAATTGGCTGTAATTTTGTATTTCGATTACTCAATGTATAGACCATCTCCGTACTAAAAATTATTCACATTAACCCAAGTTTCAGGGTTGCCCCCATATAAAAATACCTCCCTATAATCGGTATTTTGGGGATGTTGGACAAGTTCCCTCATCCGAGTTGTCATCCTCAAGGTGGTTAACTTGTTTAATTTTGAAATGAAAGCATATGTGAAAATCACGTTCAGCTACAAATTCGGCTATAGAAGACTATCAGGCTATCACAGGTCACTGCAGGATTAGATCACTCACATCCAAATTAGACATCAATTCACTGCAAGAGTCACTGGTCTTAGGTTAGGTTCTGTTAGGGATGTACGGTTGTTAATAACAACCGTTCACTCGAAGACAATTGTCCATTGTGATCATCCTTGTTACCTGAAAGGAAAGGGGAAATGAAGAGAGAATGGAAGAGAGGAAGAAATAGTAGGAGTTAGAGAGCTTAGAATATAATTACTTTAGCCATGTCAGTTGAATCTGATTGGCGTCTATATTGGAGAAGAATGCTAGATTATTATCTCATACCTTTCAAACTGTTTCTTGCAAGAGTAGATTGCTATCAGTTTTTTCCTTAGAGCGTTCCTCAACATTCCTATTCTTCTTCAGAAAAGGATAGATGGCAAGCGGAAACTAGGAATCTTACATTTCGTAGTGAAGACCACCAATTCTGTCATACAGGGGTTTACACCAAGAAAATTAGGTGAGACCTTTATATAGGGATTATCTGAGAACCCGAAATTCCAAATTATAGTCATTTGGGTTAAAAACCTTAGGCCTTCGAAATACCTAAAATTAGTCGGGGTTTATACACATATCAGGCTGATCTGAATATAACCATACCATACATAGCAGCAGAGAAGATATAGTTCCAATATAATATGATAGCTAGGTGGGCTTTTCAATTGATTTGTTATCCATAAACGAAGAGGGATGAATTTATCTCTTAATCATAATCTTTTGTTGGGCAAAATACCAAAGAGAGATATTGGTGTTTTGGGATATTAATATATATCCTTTATCTTACGTAAGAAATTAACAACATCACGGCCATTTAGATAATGACCAATTAATTTTCGCTTTTTACAAATTAACAAAATAATAATTAATAACGAATCGGCGTTTTATTTTCTTTTTCTGAACCGGTTTTGCAACCACGAATTGGCATGAGAATTCCAATTATATTTACTTAAAAGAGTACTAATTGCGGGTTAACAGTCGTACATTTTCGAATCAAATAAATCGCAACACAAGTTGGCTGTCCTTTGGTTTACAATTTACTTCAATTTCCTAATGTGAAGATTTAATGCACGGAATCCTTTTGCAATGACAAATTGCAATTTTCAACACAATATTTAGCGTTTTTGTAGTAGTTACCCTACATATGGCAATGGCTCAATTGGAGTTCAGATCTGAAAGCGATAGAATTATAAAATTGCAAGGTTTTCATTCATGTTTTTCAATTTTATTCTGAAAATTCACATACAATAACAATTTTCTATGTGGTTGTTGTTGAATAGTATTTGTTGTAGTTTTGCAGTTACCATGCCTAGAATATTTATGTAGATATTTTTATTGTTCATATCTAATGGTTTTAGAAGCAATTGTCAATTTTAGTAAATTTTTTATATGAATTAGGATTTAAATCAAAAGAAACGTTTTTCCAATAAGAATTCGTTGTTATTCAAACACATGTCATACTTTACGTTACGTCAACCACTAATTGCACATTATGACTACAATATGCCGCATTGGCGCATTGTTTCTCCCCAATTTATTGAAGAGAAAAGCATAAATTTTCATAAAAACAACTCAAAATTTATTAAAGTCACAAATTTAGAAACATTTAGAAGAATTTAATCCACTCTTCGCAATCATTCCCCCTTTCAAAAATCTTTACCAATAATGGGTTATTGTCAAGTAATCGACTACCCGACGATTATTCATTGTGTGCGAGCGATACAAAAGAGAACAACAAAAACACATGACGAATGACCATAACAAAACAGAAATGAGAAAAATTAAATATTGTTGCTGCTGTTGTTGTTGTTGTTTTTGCTGTTCGTACTACAACTTTCTGGTCGTTTTGATTGGATGATGTTATTTTTTGTGTTCAATTCGTTCCAATTCGTCGTCTTGTCGTCTTCAACAGCAGAAGAAGAATATCACAAAATTTCGTCGCGTTCATCATTTGTCGGATTTTTCGGTAGTGTTTACTCTCTATAGTCTGTCTTATCGTGAAATCTAACCAAAAATACCCAAATTAAAATAGCATACAAAACAAAAAGAAAGAAAAAACGAATAATTAATTGTTTGCCTTTGGTGAAATATGATTAACAAGTTTTCATTTGGTTGATTTCTGCAAATTATTACACAAACCCACTACTAAAAAAAGAGTAAATAAGAGCACACGAGCAACAATAATAATAGAAACATCAGCAACAACAACAAAAGCAAACACAATAATTGAGGAATAATAAAGAGCCTGAGTCTGACCTATTACCTCACACACAAAACTCGTTCGTCGCAGTACGACTATTTTGCTCGATTAGTTTGTTTATCGCGTTATCTCGTCTCCATACCCTAGCAAGAAACTATTAAGTAAATAGAGAATCATTCCCTTAGACAACATTCTTGAGATTGTAGAAGGAAGGGTTTTTTGTTGGGCGCACTCACGCACGCACTCACGTAAACACAACATTAGAACAGAGACACACACACAGGTGGTGGCTGACGGTGGTTGTTGTTGGTTGTGGTCATCATCGTCGTCGTGGAGATAGTGGTGTTTACGTTCTGGTTTCTGGCCGCCCTATCACATATCGATGGATAAGAAGAAGCACTGAACTGACGTGACTGATTGGATTAATTGATCTAATTTCCAATTCATTGGCAGCGGTGGTCACTTCCGTTGCGGGAAGGAAAAGTACGCAATAAGCTTTGCTATGTTGAAAACTATCTATCGATCAACGACATTGGTACGACAAACAACAACGAAAAGCTTAACGCCGCCGACTCCCCTGGCATTCAATTATCAAAATCCCAAGAACGCAAGTGTTGGCGTTTGCGGTGGTGTCTTTGCGGAGGGATCACTAACAGCAGGTAATTGTAGAACGAGCTCAACGTCACGTCGCAGTCTTACGACATTTCCAGCACCAGTAGTAGCATCGTCGGCCGCGGCGGTCACAGCATCTCAGACAACAAAAAATACAACAAATACACCAAGGGCTGCGACGATATTAAAACGCAGCAAGTCCCAGACACAGTTTACGTAAGTACATGTTACAAAAAACAACAAAAGCAAATCTAAAACATCTAACAAAAACACACACACACACTGTAGATAGCCAGTCACCACCTGCATTTTAATTAAAACCAAAATCTTCAACAACAACAAGAATAATGACCACTTAGTCTTAGTCGTCTCCTAATGAATCTTCTAAAACATTGTTTTATTGTTTTTTTTCTCTCCGTTTATTTTAGGCTACTAACACGTTTAACTCCCCGTCACCGTACAATGTCGACGGGATCCACACCCAATACCACGACAACACCAATAACCGCCGCTCGTAATCTGTGTACAGCAGCTGCTGCTGGACACAAGTTTACCAACCGCTTGGCCCAAGAAAAATCTCCATATCTGCTACAGCATGCCCACAATCCAGTCGATTGGTATCCCTGGGGAGATGAAGCAATTGCAAAGGCCAAAGCCGAAAATAAAATGATATTTTTATCGGTCGGCTATTCGACATGTCATTGGTGTCATGTCATGGAACATGAATCGTTCGAAAACGAAGAGGTGGCAGCCATAATGAATGAAAATTTCGTCAACATTAAAGTGGATCGAGAAGAGCGGCCAGATATTGATCGCATCTATATGCAATTTGTGCTGATGATGAACGGTAGCGGTGGCTGGCCAATGAGTGTTTGGTTAACGCCCGATTTGGCGCCCATAACAGCGGGTACATATTTTCCACCAAATGATCGGTGAGTGATGATGAATGACAGGTTTTTGTCATTTTGTGAAAAGTAAAAAAACCAATTGGTCATTATTATATAAATGGGATTAAATATATATATATATATTGATGTATATTTATCCCTCTTTGGTATTTTGCCCCCCAAAAGATTATGATTAAGAGCTAAACTCATTCCTCTTCGTTTATGGATAACAGATCAATTGAAAAGCCCACCCAGCTATCATATTATGTTGGAACTATTTCTTCTCTGCTGCTATGTATGGAAGTTGCCAATCTTCTACTAGGCGCGTCTTCCCTGGTGGCGGATGGGAGGGTGCAGGGTGGAACTGACCTAGGTCAAACTAGGCCGGATCTTTTCTCTACACTTCATGGAAACCTTGGGGATCTTCGGATCCCCCGTGGACCCAAATGGATCGGCGTAGTGCCTATAAAATAGTCCGGTTCAACCATGGGAACTGGTGCCCTTGTTTACATGTATAAAAAAGTTCGTTCTCTGCGTTCTCTTTTAGTAAGTCATTTCATATGGCGGTTTCTCATTTGTTCTCTGAGAATTTTTTCGTTGCACACCTCTACCTTAAAATAATTAACTAAGATGGGAAAGAAGAATAAGAAAAATAAAAGGTACGGTGCAGGGAGCTAATAACCCAGTAGCGGCGGCAATCGATGGTGAGATCACAACTCACCTATCGTCGAGATCAAGCGATTGTGATCCGGCTGTTATTGGTGTGGATACCTTGGCACATGCAGCTGTACCTGTTACAAGCGCATCAAGTTTTTTTTTAGCTGGCTTTTGACAAAACTTTCGTTCCATAAGCGGAGCTTAAAAAAGATTTCCAGGCGCGTCTGTCTTTTGCGCAGTTTTTTTCAATTTGAAAGACCATATTCGGCAATGTTATCTTCCATCAGCTGGTTCGCTTTTATATGCCTTATGTGCTGGGGCATCTTCATCCATTCTCACAACATGGCCTAGCCAACGTAGTCGATGCAGCTCAATACGTCTAACAATGTCAATGTCAGAGAATAGTTGGTACAACTCATGGTTCATTCGACGGCTATATTCCCCGTCAACGCAGATCGGCCCATAGATCTTTCGGAGAATTTGTCTCTCAAACACTCCAAGAGCTGCTTCATCTGTTTGCTTGAGATCCATATAACAGCACCTTGCTTTTGAGTAGTATCAGCATCTGTCCATCACTATCCTCCGAATTTCAAAACTGATGTCATTTGTTTTGTTTATGGCGGTACCATGGTATATAAAATCGTTGACTACCTCGAAACTGGGAGATGGTCTTGCTTTTGACTTGTTTGCTCAGACCATAGTAACATCTCTTGGCCATCACAATCCTCCGAATTTCAAAACTGATGTCATTTGTCCGTAAATGTGATGCATATACGAGAGATCCTCGTTGTACAATTCATTATTCATGTCACGTTGCCTCAACAATATACATATATTTCCCCGATCAGACAAGCAGGAGGAATTCTCTCATAATAAAATTCTATTTTTAGCTCAATGACATCGGGAACTCCTTATCTATGTGTTCGAACGGAACGCCACAAAATATATAGCTGAAATGTCTCTAAAATTGTCGATGGTATTAGTCACCCATTTTAAATTTTATGTTGCGTGCCAAGCTGGACTACGTGATCTGATCGTTGCTTTTAAGAAAAAATTTCTCAGGAAGTTGGAGTGAATAATAAAAATAGGGAGAAAATGAATATAAGGAGGAAAAGTGGTGGAAGTTTACAGAATTTAGAAAACTGGTTATTTTGGCCATGTCGAGGTCTTAACAACTCTTAGGATCAATTTTATATTTGCCGAAATGTCTGTGCCTTCTGCCACGTCTTATAATATAAATATTTTTTCTTTATAGTTGGGGTATGCCTTCATTTAAAACGGTGTTAAAAGCTATCGCCTCCAAATGGGCTGACAATGAGGAACAATTAAAGGCAGCAGGAAATGAAATTATTGCCGCCATACAAAAGTCGCTGTGTGAAAAAACAACAGAAGCTGTATTTGAACCAGGCAGTGCAGATGCAAAGCTGCAAGAGGCTATGCGTATCTTCAAGCAACGCCATGATGCAGAATATGGTGGCTTCGGTTCACATCCAAAATTTCCAGAAGTATCCCGTTTGAATTTCCTCTTCCATGCTTATATTGTGACCAAAGATATTGATACCCTGGATATGGCGATAAAAACCCTACACAATATCGGTCGTGGTGGTATACATGATCACGTTTTTGGTGGTTTTGCACGTTATTCGGTGGATCGTAAATGGCATGTACCACATTTTGAAAAAATGCTTTACGATCAGGGCCAACTTATGTCAGCATACGGAAATGCTTATAAGTTGACGCGTGAGGAGCCCCTTTTGGAATATGCTGATGGTATTTATCGATATTTGACAACAGATTTACAACATCCAGCCGGTGGTTTTTATGCTGGTGAAGATGCTGATTCTTTGCCCAAGGCAGAGGATGCAAAAAAAGTTGAAGGTGCCTTTTATGCCTGGACCTATGAAGAAGTCAAGAAAGCCATAAATGAGAATAAAGACAAATATACCAAGTTGCAAATGGATGCGGATAAAATATTTGAACTCTATGCTAAATATTATGATTTGAAACCAACCGGTAATGTTGAACCGGCCAGTGATCCTCATGGTCATTTAAATGGTAAAAATATTTTAATCATCCGGCAAACAGCTGAAGAATTTTGTCAGAAAAACTCCATTGAACAGCAGCAATTGAAACAAATTACCCGCATCACAAATGAGGTGTTGAATGAGATACGTAAATTACGACCACGTCCTCACTTGGATACAAAAATAATTTGTTCATGGAATGGTTTGGTATTGAGTGGCCTCTCAAAGTTGGCCAATTGTGGCAGTGAAAAGAGACCTGTGTATATAATTGGTTACATTTATGTATGAAAATTTATGGGATAAAGAGAAGAAATTGCTGCGACGTTCATGTTATGGTGTGGCCACCAATGATTCGACTTTGCAAGAGAATTTGGAGTAAGTATTGAAGAAGAAAAATTGATTTGATATTTGTTCATTGATTTTTTGTTACTTTGTAGGGGAGAACGTATCGATGGCTTCTTAGATGATTATGCTTTCCTTATCAGAGGCCTTTTGGATTATTATAAAGCAACTTTGGATGGTTTTGCCTTAGACTGGGCTAAAGAATTACAGGAAATCCAAGACACCTTGTTTTGGGACGCTGAAAATGGTGCATACTTCTATTCCAAAGCCAATTCACCAAATGTTGTGATAAGACTCAAGGATGGTAAGTTGAAAAAATACACTTGTACAAAGTGTGGAAACAAGTATGTGAAGAAAACATATTAGTCTCTCTTCCTATTTATTGAAGACAATGGAAAGGATACTTGATCTAGAGATAAGAAATTAAGAGTAAATCAATCGATACAGCCTTAGACGAAATGGTTGGATGCATTGAGAAAAATTTGCTGAGCTCCAATTTTATATTGACAGACTTCCCCGATATAGAGGAATGCATTTCAAGGTTAAAATCCATCGGATTTTTTAAAGATATTTTTAAGGGCTTAACTCAAGGCATGGATTTTTTAAAAATATTTTTAAGGACCTACCGTAGTATATCCAATGGTTTTTGTTTAAGAAGACACGATTATCTTTTTCTTTAGAAGATCACATGATCTTTCTTATAGCAGATCTGATGATTTTCATCTATAGAAGACCCAGTTGGTTGTATCTGTCTGTAGAAAATCGAATGTATACTTAATAATTAATTCTCTTTTAATAAAACAATTTATTTCCTTATTAATATTATTTTTCTCTATTTTCCTCCTCCTCCATAGATCACGATGGTGCCGAACCCTGTGGCAATAGTGTATCAGCCCGTAATCTTATCCTACTCTCCCACTATATGGACGAGGAAAGTTATAGTAAGCGTGCTTCCAGTCTATTCGAATTCTTTGCCGATCAACAACCGTTCGGTTATGCCTTACCCGAAATGTTATCCGGCCTGTTGTTATATGAAAATGGTCTCGATTTGGTAGCCGTGGTGGGCCCAGATTCTGAGACCACTAAACGTTTTGTGGAAATTTGTCGTAAATATTATATACCTGGCATGATTATTGTACATGTTGATCCTCAAAATACCCGACATGCCTATAATCAACGTGTTCAGGAGAAATTCAAAATGATCAATGGCAAACCAACGGTTTATATATGTCATGACAAAGTGTGCCGTATGCCTGTTACCGATCCGGAAAAATTGGAACAAAATCTAAATGAGAATTTTTTGAGACGTATAATCTAAGGTGTTTAACTCTCAAATTGGTTGGAATTAATTCATAACAGGTTTCGTTTCTTTTATTTTTTTCTTTAAATACTTTTGTATATTTAAAGTAGTTTTGTAGTAGTGGTAAGGCTTCTAGTATTTCTTTTGTTTAATATTCCTTTTACTTTTTTGTAATTATATAGTTTTTTTCCTTAGATTAGGTCTAGTCTCGAAATATGTTTTATATGTTCGCTGCATATAAACTTCTTGTATGTATTCTTTTTATTGTATTTTTGAAAGGTTTATTTTTTTCTGTATTTTATTTTAATATATCTTAAGGTATATTTGTAATGCCTTAAGTTGAGATTATTCAAAGGAAGTGCTTTAAAAATATATATAATAATTGACAATTTATAAAGCTTGATTATAATAAACATGAAGTTTTATTATTTTTTGTTATATGTTTTTATTGTAAATATATATATTTTATTATTATTTTTATTTGAATGTACTATAAGTACAAATGTTTTTGAGAAGAAAATAACAATAATACAATAAAATGTCAAGTGTGCTGTATTTCAAAGAAAAAAATAATGTTGTTTTATTTTGAATATGGTGGAAGTATATTTCATGGATTTTTAAAAAATAGTTTTAATGACCTAGCACAAGGCGTGGATTGTTTACAAATATTTTGAACGACCTAGATTAGGTTTGGGGATGTGTAGTCACTTATGTGGCAGCAGCACTCTGAGACCGTCAGGTCCATTGTGATCATCGAGGAGAAGAAAAGAGATAATAATAGGGGAGAGAAGATTGGGGAAATAAAGAGATACGAGAAGCTTACAAGAAAATGTAAGAAGGTAAATTTAAAGTAATATCAATGGCTATAGAGATCGGACAGAAGATTAGAGCAGATTCAGTTGTTGAGAAGAAGCTAAGACTCGGTGGAAAATGAGCACCCACTAGTCTGTGCCGCCTGTAAGCCAGGGCTGGACAGTGACACAGATCTTGACACATTGCACCCAGGTTCGTGGTGCCAAAGTCCATAGGCTCTTTCGTCGAAGAACGCCTCAAAGTTCCGGTAAAGATGACATATGTGTGGTTTGGTTGAGTCATCAATTGCTAGATCTGTGGACATGTCACGGTGTCGTGGTACCCAACACAACCGATAGCTGCATGTAAGTTCTTCCAAAGCTGCTCTACACTTGAGGACGGCCTCAGATTTGATATAACAATATTTTATGACTTTAAGAGCCGCCTGTCTCCTCCTAGTCAACGCAGAGTCTACAGTAATCAATTGCATCATGATCCGATTTACTAGTAAAGGCCCTGATATTGCAATGACCAGTAATGATTCCTGTCATTACTCATATTTCAGCTTTGCTTAAGTTCAACAGTGAGTGTGTCCTTTTGGTAGACAGAGTCGGCCAAATGGATCTGATTTTTGTACCCCCCACATTTGAATTTATAATTCCGCTGTTTAGCATTTTATCTATCCAATACGTAAGGGTTTCAGCAATGTCAACTTCTATAAGTGAGTGGTTTATGAACAGACGCTTCACAGATTTGCTCTGTGGGGCGGCATTTGCTCTCCCAGGAGACGATGGTTCCTTGCCGGAATTTCCTTCTTCCTATTCCGACCACTGGTGGATCCACCCAATACTTTAGCTTCGCCTTTTGTCGCTAGGCGTAGAATCAGGCTTTGAGACAGAGATGCTACCAGTAGCCTTTTGACTAGGGTTAGGCTTCGAGCTAGGCTTCAGATCAGAAGTCGGCTTAGCACCTTTGTCAGAGACAGTGGGCTTCGCCGATTCCACTACTTTTACACGAGCAGTAGGATTCGGGACGGAGATCCTGTCCATCTGGAGTTCACGATGGAGAGCGGGTGGATAGATTCTTTCGAACTTCCTTACGAATCTCATATTGCCTTTGATGAGGTGAACCTCCCTCTCCGAAATCAAATTCGCGTCTAGACCTACGAATTTCCAGAGATACGAAACAGCATGTTTGTAGTGTTTCGCTTCAGTTACTTCTCGGTCCTTTCTAACATTGGAGCCGCTGTCAGACTAAAAGTCGGTGGGTCAACAGGGTCTGTGCTTCCTTTGTTAATGCTATCCCAAGTGTAGACTTGGCTGCGATCACCGTGGTGTCCAGCTCATCATCAGTTAGGGTAAAATTCAGTAGCAGTTCATCATCGTATCCCCACCTTGCTCTTCCGGTATCAGTCTAGTCTAGGCTATCGCGGATAGCATTTAGAGTCCCATGTAGGTCGTCCACTCCCAGAACAGTCCTGTCAGCAGAGACTGATCTTCATCAGTCTCTTGACCTGCTCGTTTGCTAAAAGAATTGCCGGTTCGTCAACGTTCGGATTTGAAATTGATGCACTTGTAACAGATACAGCTGCAGGTGACACGATCCCTTGATCTCGACGACACTTGACTTGTGACCTCACCAACGATTGCCGCCGGTATTGGGTTATTAACTCCCTGCACCGTAACTTTATTCTTTTTGTTCTTATTCCATTTACCCATCGCAGTTAATTAATTTAAGGGCACTACCCCGATCCATTTTGGTCCGAAGATTGAGAAGGTTTCCACGAAGTGCAGAGAAAAGTTGACCTAGATGAACTAGACCATTTTCACTCTGCACATCATGGAGACCCCCTTCCCATCCGCCAACCGGGAAGACGCGCCTAATAAGAGATTGGCAACACCCCTAGGAAGTGCCTAGCACAAGGCGTGGATTTTTAAATAATATTTTTAACGAGCTAGAACGAACTTTTGATCCAATTGTGACAAAAAAATACAAATAAATACAACCAAGTTTTTTATCATTTAATTATTTAGAGATTATTTTTATTTTCATTTTGTGTTCTTGTTTTTTATATTTTTTGTTTTGTTTGATGTTTTTTTTTGTATTTATTACATGATACAATACATTGAAAATTTTATATGGAACTTTTTAAAAAAAAGTAACTAAAAAATTAATAATAACATATGCATATACGTTTATATATAATATATTTTGTTTTTAAGGAACGTAAGACGTCCACTAAGTCACAAAATAAAGTTTTTTTTTTTTGTAAAAATAAAAAAAAGGTAAAGAAGAAAAAAGTCCATGATATCGCACAATAAAATGGAATACTACACTTTATATATATTTTACTTTTCGAATGGGTATGTATGTAGGTTTGTATGATTTTTTTTATTTGTTTGTTTATATATAAAAGAGAACAGAATTTCGCTTGATTTCGTTTGAAACTAAAATCATAAATTGTAATAATAATAATAATTGTATTATACAGATATAACACTTAACAAAAAACAACATTGTTGTTTATTTATATATTTTTTCGGTTTTGTTATGCATTATGCATAATTGAGGAGAAGGAGTAGAATTAATTTTGGGTTTCATTATCATCTGTACTTTGGAAAATTATAATAAAAAAATTACAATTTTTAATTAAATTTTTTATTATTATTTATAATAATAAAACATAACTATTTTTTGGAATACGTACAAAGTAAATGAACCAAAGAAATTAATTGTTGCTATATTTAAATAAAATAAAAAAAGAATACCTATACAATTAATCATAATCACAATATAGAATTTACCCCTCTTCTTTTCAAAATACCTTTGGGAAATTATGTGGGTATTTGTCCATTAAGAAGGAGGGGTATTAAAATTTAGAGATTAATTAATAATTTGTGTTATCTTATAGAACGAAGAAGAATTGTCAAAGGAAGCATTAGTTTTTTTGTTGTTGTATGATTTGTTTTGGTTTGTTTTGTTTTGTATTGAGGAATAGGTACTAACAATTCGATTTTTTAGTTTTATTAAAATTAATTGCTTAAGTTTGTTTTTGTTTTATATTTTTTTGTATTTGTCTGAGGTTTGTTTGTGTTTATTGTTGTTGTTTTTGTGATTTATGTGGTAACATGTTTATTTTTGTTTGTTTGTTTATTTATTTGTTTTTTGATTTACTGACAAAACTATAGAAAAAAACACAAAAGCTTAATTCATTACTCAGAAAAAATTATTATATTAATTAAATAATAACTATTATAGTACTTGAAAATTAAAAAAAAATAAACACATAAAATTAAAAAATAATAATAATTAATTTTAAATTATACAGAAATTTATTCTTCATCACATTGAGACCCTTTTTTGTTTTTGTTTTTTAAGTTACATTTACTTATATTTTTTTTTTGTTTTTTTTTTATTGTTTTGCTTACGTTTTTTTATATTTTTTGTTATTATGGTTTAGGGGCTGGCTTAGCATTATTTTTTTTATTTTGGTTTAAATGTGGCAAAATTTTTTTTTAACTTATTTTATATAACTGTTGGGAGAAGTTGCATTCATATTATTTAAATTTCAAAAATATATGGTCTACATTTCAAATACAAATTTTTAGCAATACTTCAATGAAGTAAAATGATAATAAAAATCTATTTTTATAGTGGAAATTCTCACGCAAAGTAATCTCTTTTTGCTCTCCACACCTTATTAATTGATCGCTGTTCATTTTTTACGTTATAGATAAATTCGTCTATATTTGCATTTGTTTCCAACAATTTTGATATCCATAATATTGAATATACAATATTTCTTGTGCTTTTTTAATATTTTTAAGGACTTAGAGATAGGCGTGGATTTTTTACAAATATGTTTAAGGACCTAGCACAAGGCGTTGATACATACAAAAGAGTTTCTACAATTTTTTTTGTATCTAAAAACGATTTTTCAAGATCTTCCAGGTTGTGATAGACAAAACATTAGCAAGACAATTCCTGCGAGGGGTTTATTTATAGAAGATCTTTATATTATTTTTAAATTTCTTTTTTGATTTTTTCATTAAAAGAAAATCTGAAAACGTTCTTGTCTTTATAAGAGACTTCAAAACAAATCTTCTCTTTATTGAAAATCGCCTCCTATTTATAGAAATTCCCATGGTATTTTTTCAAACTACACCAAAGTTCTATTTGTTGGTAGGTAAACAATTCCAGAAATTTTCTGTTTTTTTGTTTTAATCGCCCTTAATGCACTAGAAAATCTTTTAATGCTTAACTGTGAAAAAATTAAGCAATCTATAATTAAGTTATCGAAAAAAAAAACAAATTGTAAACCTTATCAATTTTGTGATTGACAAGGTTACCACCATTGACATGTGTAAGGCAGAAAGGCGTTACACCAATCAATGTTTACTTTTTTTAGGTGACTGATTATCAATGGTATAACTTCTCTTTTGAGTGGATGTGGAAAGAAATGTCTTTGAGAGATCGTTGCAGAATCAATAGTTAAAGTGTAGATACATTTTCTGCAAAACGTACATAAGGTATCTTATCTAACTTATCTACATACAATATAAAGGGAATAGTTTCAAGAGGTATTATTCTTATAAAATACCTTATTAAACTTTTCTATATATAGAAGACCTTTAAAGGTATTCTATTTTCTATTTTTTATGGTTATTGGGAAAAATGGAATAATTTCTCTTTTGAGTGGTGATTGAAGTGTGGAAATCCCTCAATTGATGTTTACTATTTTAGGTAACTAGTTATTAATTGAATAACTTCTCTTTTGAGTGGATGTGAAAAGTGGGAAACTCTTTAAAAAAAAGAAATGGCCTTCAGATGGGTGCAGATAAATTGGTGTATCATTTGAGGAAAATTATCAAAATAAATAATAATTATTAGAAGTAGTGTAGACAAATTTTCTGCAAAACCATAACGTATTTTATCTAACTATTAAAGACCACTTATCTACAGACGATATAAATAGGTCTTCTATTTTTAAAATGCCCTATTAATTTTTTCTATATATAATGAAGACTTCTAAATGGTATTCTATAAGGTAAGAAGATTAATGGAACAATTTCGCTTTTGAGTGGAGGTTGAAGTGTTGGAATCCCTCAATTGAAATGACTGTCAAATGCATTTAGATAAATAGAATCTGATGAAGATTACCGAAATCGTTAAATCAAGTTTGATAAAAGATCTTCTATTCAGAGAAAGCATATGACCATTCACCTACATATCTAACAATTAAAAACCATTCGTCTAAACCTGTTCTATACAAGGCATTCGTTTCCTTTAAGTGTTGATATATTATTAAATATATTTTATTACATTTATAGAATGTATTATTAAGATTTTTAATTTATAGAAGATCTCTAAACTGTTTTTAATTTCAAAAAAGGCATTCTAATTATATATCAAATAAAATTTTTTATTGAAAGAAGTCCCTTAAAAGATGTTAATCTTAAACAGAATAATATCTATGGATGGAAGACCCACCAAAGATGTTCTATTTTCCAGCTGAAGTCTTCTAATAATAAATAAAAACCTCAAGAAGAAAAAGACCCTTCAAAGATGGAAGAGCCATCAAAATTTTTAAGGTATTCTATGGTTAGGAGGCCCTTGAATAAAATTTTCTAATTATAAAACAACTCCTAGAAAATCATGCGGTTGTAATTTCTATGGATGGAAAGATTTTCTATTTTCCAGGAGATATTCTATAGATAGAAATACTTTATTATTTAAATTATAAATAAATACCTCAAGAAGTTCATATAACTTTAGAAGACCCTTCGTTGATAGAAGACCCATCAAAAAATCGTCTAGAACTTCATATGTTTCTTAAATAGCCTTTTATTTTTTCATAAAAGCGTAAATTTACAAAAAAAAACTCAAGAAGTCACATATTTGAAAAAAAAAACATCATCTTCTAGGTATAAGAAAACCTTAATAAGTTTATAAATTTGTAAAATATTCCATTGTTTCAATTTATAAAAGAACTCTCAAGAAATTTAGGAATATTTTCAATGAAAATACTTCATATTCATTAAGAAGGTCTTATAATTCTGGGAGACCTTAAGAAGTCTTCCCTATTATAAAAAAATATTTAAGATGACCCACAATTTATTTAAATACTTCAAGAAGGTCTTATATTTATCAATGATCTGAGTCATATCTTGCCATTATAGAAAACATAATGAATGTCTAATGTACTCTGAAAAAAGGGCTTTGTATTTGTAAAAGTCCTAAATAAAGAGAAAGTCCTAAATATAGAATTCCTTGATAAGTTATATTTTTGGAAAATTTAAAAGAAGTCCTTAATATAATAAATATTTTCATTTCACATCAGAATAACAATATATTAATTAATTAATTAAAATTCTTACAACACCCATTCATTTAAGAATCCCCTAAAACTTATAGAAGACCACAGAAAAGTTCTCACACATATCTTGTACATTAGAAGACCTTTTATATATTTTTTTCTGGATTAAAATCGTTCGTTATTCAAAACATATCAAATGTAATTGATCTGTATCCCTCTCCTCCAAGAATCTACTAATTTTTACAATTCTTTTCGATAAAATAAAAGAAAAATTGTTATCGTAGTAAAAAGTTGTACATTCCTGCAGAATCTGAAACAGACCAAATAAGTCTTCAAAATATCGTCTACTTCTGAAGGTCTCCTTAGGGCATTTTGTTTATAGAGAAGCTCATAGATAATAAAATCGATCGATTTCCAAAAGTTATCCTATGCGTAAAAGATGATGAGAAGATATTCTATGAATTGAGATTTCTCCCAAATATATTTGGAAACAAATGACAAAATTAAATGAAATTGTAAAAGTAAATTTAATACACGATTATTGTCATGTTTAATACAAAGGAGTTGCGTTTGGAATTTTGGTATTCCAAAGGTTCCGCGATTTTCAAATATCACGCAAATTCTCCCAACAGCTTTACATTCTTTTAAAATTGATAACCTGTCTATAGAACATTATCATCATAAGCTATGGGTTAATTCTTTAAGTACTAACTTAACCATTCGAAATTAAAGAACAAATTTTCAACTCAGTCTAGTAGTAGGAGCGGTGCCCAATATTAACATTTTGCCAGCCCACAAATACCCATAAATACCACACATTCAGACATTCATTCATCACTCTCCACAGAGGCGAGGCGAAAATACTCTAAAATTATTCCCTCCTCTAGTTTAGCCTGCCCCATCAGCAACATTTTTTTGGCGGATTGGGGAGCTACTTCATCACCTACTTCTGATTTTTTTCTTAAGTTTCATTGAATGTCATTGCCTCATCGAATATATCCACCATGGCTTCCATACGTTCTTGATGTTCAAAGCGGGCAAAACGCCGTTGACGTTTACGTTGCAATAATTTACCTGACGGTTTGATGCGCCCCAGTCTATGAAAACGTGTATCCTCTTCTTCGGTATCGTATTCCGGCGCCGATACCGAATCCTCTTCATCCGTTTCCCAAAACTCCTTAAGGTTACGATGAATTTTGAAGATTTTTGTCGTATCCAAACGTTTGCGTATGGTCCGTGACATTGACGCCACACCACGTTCCGGTTGCAATTTCATTTTGGACGTTGCCGACGACGATGATGAATTACCATTGGAGGCTGTTATTGAGACAACATTAAAGAGTTCTGCTAGTTCGGCATCAGTACGTTGTTGCTCTTTTAGTTTCTTTTTGTACTTGGGTGCATAGTCGAGAATGTATAGAAGACTGTCGATACGTTGATCTGGTTCATCGACTGGACCATTAACAATCGACGCTGATGATGATAGCAGGCTAGTGTTGGTGGGTGTTGATGAGGTTGGCGTAGAGGGCGGGGCAGGTGGTAGGTTGCCGGCTGAGCCATTGCAGTAGACAGAACCTCCAACACCGTTTTGGCAACCGTTAGTCGCAGATCCAACCCCTCCCACACCACCACCGCCGCCGTGCGACACTGTGTAACGTCGACGAGGTCGCCGCCGCTTCACCAATGTCCATGAGTATCTTGAATGCGGATCATTGCTTAGCTCCAATTCCAGTTCTGTGTGGGAGGGTGGCGTTGAACACAATTCCACATCGAATTCTTCATCCGATTTGGCCATTTCGATTGTCTGTGTTTTCATTTCGATTTCGGCACAGCAAAATGATGACCCGGCCAAAAGCACAAACAAAATAAATACACAAAAGAGAATTTCAAAAAAGAATTATACACACATCTCTTCCACACACAATTCCAACAATTCCAAATGAATTGTCTATAATGAATCTAACGGTCCGGTCCTGCCGAACATAAAATTAATAATATATACAAATAATTGTAAATTACCTGAAAAAGGTACTCAGCCTCAGAATATTTCTGGTCCGTTAATCGGTATTCCGACATCCTTAGAACATTCAAGTGATTACGACGTTCCAAAGCAAGAGAAAAACCCCGACTAGACGTTGATGATGATGAGAATGTTGTGATGAAGTTGTTGTGTTTTGTGTTCAAAAGCAGCAACAGAACAAGGATGGAGGGCGGGCAGCCAGGCAGGCAAGCAAAAACAGATTCAGATTGTGTGTGTGTGTGTTTGTGTTTTTACCGACCGTGTGCGACCGAGCAAAATAAACAAACTCACTCCTCTCTATTTTTTGTGTATTCCCTTTTGCTGCCTAATTCGTTCGGTTGGTTGGATGGATGGTTGCTCTGTTATTGTATTTCTCTTCTTCTTCTTCTTCTCGTTGCCTTGCCTTTTCTTTTCGCCTGTTGTTTTTTGTTTCTTTATTTTTATTATTGTTGCTGGTTTTGTTGTTGTTATTGGTTTATTGGTTGGTGTGTTGTTGATTCAACCTTTTTTCTGTTTTCTGTAATATGCCGTAAATGATGAATGTTCTTCGAAATGTTTCGTAGAAACGAGAGAAACCATGCGATGCGAGAATAAAAGTAGAAATGCCCGTGTGAATGCAAATGAAAATATTTTATTCGCAGTTATAAATTTTACAAATCCTAATATTATTTATTGCTCAATAATAATAATAATAATAATATTTTTCCTTTGGGTTGTGTTTATTATTTATTTTGGCAAATGTATTTATTTCCCTTTATTTTGCGAATAATGCGAATACAATACAAAATAAATTGTAGAGTTGGGTAGTTCCGGAACGAACTAGTTCATTGAGGGTATTCCGAGAAAGGAACGATTGGAACTAGTTCCAGCTCTTTAATTAATATAGTTCCTTTCTCTAATCCAGTTCCTTTTTTGAACTATTTGAAGCAAAGGAACTGTATGGAGCAAGGGAACTAACAAGAACAAAGGAACTATATGGAGCAAAGGAACCATTTGAATCAAAGGAAGTATTTGGAGCAAAGGAACTATAAAGAGCAAAGGAACTACATGGATCAAAGGAACTATATATGGAAAAACGAAAAAAAGAATGATGAAAGAGAGAGATTCAAAAGAACTATGTAGGAGTCGGAACTATATGTAGCAAAGGAACTATATGGATCAAAGATACTATACGGTTGTACAATGAGTGGGAAGCCTCCAAGACTCCAGCCTTCATAAAATTCGATATCATAAAGGAAAAAATTGTTATCGAAGTAAAAAATACTAGATTCTTGCAGTACGAGAACATACCAATAAATATCTAGGTTTAATAATCCCTTCACACATAAGAATATAAATCAAATATCCTCAAACTTCGTTGATAATTTGAATTACAAATCAGCTAATTCATACTGACACACTCATATGCAGAACAATTGAGGTACCCTTTAGCCAGCAGTATCTTCTTATTGTAAATATGCCAAAACACATGGCATCCATTCAAAATCAACATAACAGCCAATTTTTACTCGGCTAAATTTCTGGCCCGCAAAAAAAGTTTTATTACAAAGAGAAAGCCATTTTGTTTTGTGGCTCTCTTCAAATATATACTTCAATGTTCCAGTTTTATGGGTTCAGGAACGGTTTTCGTGCCAAAAAGTTTGCAAAACTTGTAAAAATCGCAGGCGGGCGATTCTTTTAGGTTCTGTATTCACACGATATTCTCGAATGGCTTCTTCAACTGCATCCGTGTGAATACGATTCAGACCTGCTTGATCTAGATGCTCACTTTTATACATTTGGACCTCCCTCTCCAGATCATAAAGATCCTTGCTGACATGCCTGTAACACCCAAGCAAGTATTGCATCGACAACATCTTGTTGAGTTGACGCACAGGAAGGATCTTCGGCTCCTTATGTAAGTGGTCTATTGGAGTCATGTTGCAGGATTAAAGACTTGCCTTGATGTTAGCGGACCACACTGGCGCCGCATAGTTTACCACATACCGGCCTATTGCTGTGTATGTCGTTGACAAGGTTTCTTTGTCAGCTCCCCAAGTGCTACCGGCTAGGGACTTGAGAACCTTGTTTCTGCAATATCCACGAGATATTGGTTCAGCCTCTAGCAAATGTCATAAATTTTAGGTCCTGAAGCCATAATCGTACTATCGTATGCATATGCCGTCCGATCAGAGACGTAGAGGTTAAACTGTTCCGGAGATATCACCCTTCCTTGGGGAACTCACTGTTTAACTCTACGGGCCTTCGATTTCTGAATTCCATGTACGACTGGCGTCCAAATATGTGGTTCACGATCCAACGTTTCAATCTTGGCATGAGGGCTGTTCTCTCGACGTCCTCGAACAGCTTGGCGTGACTGACATTTTCAAATGCCTTTGATAGGTCAAGCGCCACCATGACTGTCCTGTTACACTGCCTGTTCTGGTTGAGTCCTTCCGCTATGTAACTTAGTAGCATTCACAAATGCTAGGGAGTAGTAAGACCCTAGGTGTCTTAGCTACTGGCGACAAATGTGGTTTCAGGTTTCAGTAGCGGGACCACACTGCCCATTTTCCAGGCATCGGGAACTATTAGGGTGGATATCAACAAGATGAAAATGATGTTTTAACATGTTTTCTTAATCAGGCTGAATTTACCATGATTTACCATAAAAATTTAAAGCATCGTGCGACAGTGTTTATTTTAAATCATGATCAAAATCATGATACTACTGAGATGCAATGCGATTTTTGTAGGAAAAATACAACTCTCTCACAATGTACCAAAATTTGCAACTGTTTTCACATTTTGTTTGTTTTTAAATTTAACGGTTGCCAAGTACAAAAATGGAAGATCAGAGGAAAATAAAAATTATCTACATCCTTTAACAATATTAAATGCCATATTCTTCAAATATTGGTATTGTCGGTACTGGGCCTTTTTGCAACTTGTAGATCAATATGTTTCATTCTACTTGAAGTTATGTCTATCGAAAAGTTTTGCATACCATAAGACCTGAAACCATTAGGAACAATTATCATTTATACATATGATTTAGTTCTTATTTCACACTTTTGATTCTAACAAAGGTTAGTTCCGAGAGGCTAAAAAGTACCTCGAAAAACATATTCAGCATTGGTCCACCTCTTAATATCTGCAAAAATTAGTATCGTCCAATCTCTTTAATAATATTTCAAACGCTTTTTGCATCCTTAAGTCTGCTTTTCCACAGGCAAATTTTTATTTGGCAAATACTGAGTTTGTAGGCGAGAGGGGTGCGAGGAAGAAAAACAAAAATTTGCCTGCTCAGAATTTGCCGTACACGCAAATTCTGCTTTGCTCTGTTCGTTAAAAACAATTTTGTTGACATTTCCTTTTGAACCCATTCGCTTTACTGACACACAGCCGGCTTTTGTTTACAAACCTGTTGCTTTAATTTGTGCAAGTGAAATTTAATTTTTAATTTTTGCAATTTATATAATAATATATATAAAAAATAAATAAAATATTAAAAAAAAATCTTTAAAATGCAAACACTTTTGACTTTTATTTTCTTTCTTTTGTATTTTGATTCGCAAATTTGGCAAAGAAAAATTTGCTAATGGAAAAGCAAGCAAAAATTTCAAAAGAGAAAACAAAAAATAAAAATCTGCCTGTGGAAAAGCAGATTAAATATATTTTAAATTCATAACTTCAGGATTTAAACAAAATTATACAATTTAATGAAAAATGTAAACAATATTTTAATATTTCAAAAATAAATTGTTCTGATTGGTGGAATAAAATTCGCTTCAAATTTGATATGTTAGGGCGAATTAAAAATTTTTCGCCGATGCGGGTACCTTATATATCTACCTTGAGTTCTATATTGAAGAAAATTCATATTGTATTAAATTTTTCTCTATTAAGTACTGTATCAACATTTGCCACACAGCCACGTTAAAGTATTACCCACACAAATACTTCAAAGCAGATGTGGCAACTTTGCGTGTCACGAGAATATTTTGACAATTCATCGCCGCCGGGTTGGGTTTGTGTCTCGTACGGTCTGTGGTCTCGGAAAGGAATAATTTTTTGCGAATTTACCTGAAGCCCAATAAAACTAGTGAAATAAATCCATTGGAATCGGTATTTAATTGAGCAAAAAATCCTACAGAAATTATGAGTGCATTTCCGGGCACCGTTGCCTTTGATGAATATGGCAGACCTTTCATCATTTTAAGAGAACAAGATAAACAAAAGCGCATCACTGGAACAGATGCCATCAAAGTAAGAAGAACCAGATTTTCTTAATGAAAAATTTGTGCAACTATTTCCCTGAAAAACTGCAGCGAATTGCTGGACATAAAAGTGGAAAAGTGTAAATTTCAAATGTTTGGAATAGTTTTTGTGGACATTTGTGTGGAATTGATGAAAATTACCGGCTTTTTGGCAACCGGAATTTTCCAGATGGCCCGAAAAATGAACTTATGTTTGAGAGAGAAAAAAGTGATTCATTTGTGCGATTTGAAAATATGAAATTTAAATGATGAACATTTATGTGAAATTGCTGACTAAGTAAACAATTAATGTGTAAATGAATGGTTTTTGTGAAAAATTAAGGAAATTTGTTGGAATTAAGTTAATATGTCCTGTGTCTGTTCGATTTTCTTTACCCCCACTCAACGTTTGTGCAGTTCATTCAAGTAAAGCATTTTTTTTGAGGTTAAAGACGCTATGACTCAGACACAGTGAGCCTCAGTCTGATGTCAGCGGTGGCGACAGCGGTATAGCGTGCAATGTAAAGCATCATATGAACATATGGTGTTTAAAACATGACAATTCTAATTAGAATGTGGGTGTTGGATTTTGGAATGGAAATTTTTGTAAATTTTGGAAGAAATATACCATATAGAAATGGGTACATTTTAATTTTTTGGAGGGGTAAATATGAAATCCAAAAACGGCATATTTGAAATAAATCCAATCGGACATCCCATTCGCCTGATATTGGATTTATAAATTTTGTCATTTGTGAGGGAGGTACCAAAAGGAGTGGACCAATGGATCACATCTTTGGACTTGATCTATGCTAGATAAGGATAATAGATTGTGCAAAGTTTGGTTCAAAACCTGGACATTCCTTTTGTCTAATATTGAATTTATAAATATTGAACGTTTTGAACCATTTTGGCAGAGGTACAAGATAGAGTGGACCAATTAGTTCCATCCTCAGACCTGATCTAAGTTTGATAAAGATGCTAGGTTGAGCAAAGTGTGTTTCAAATCTGACATTTCATTATCATGATATTGGATTTATAAATATTGAAAATTTTGACCAATTTTGGTGGAGGTACCAGAAGGATTGGACCAATGAATCCCATCTTTGAACTTGATCTAGACTCAATTCTCAACTCATCCTTAAGAGAGAGTTCCGTGAGGAAATCTGTCAATAGAGGCACACCACAGGGGGGAGTACAATCTCCCCTTCTGTGGATTCTGGTGAAAAATGAGATACTGCTGAAATTCGATCATCTTAAAATACCGATGATGTAGTCTTGCTGGTTGGTGCGAAATTTCCAATGACAATTTCAGATATTATAGAGGGCGCCCTTTGAAACGTAAGATTCCTAGTTTCCGCTTGCCAACTTTGGGAGGAGTGACCCTCCCTTTCTGAAGAACCAAAATACCATGGTACAATCCTTGACCGCAAATTAACGAGGAATAGTAATGTTGAGGAACGCTCTAAGAAAGGACTGATAGCACTCTACTCTTGCAAGAACTCCATAGGAACTAAACCAGATATATACTGGCTGTATGTGACGGTCGTTCTCCCCATTCTTTCATATGTTTGCCTTGTATGGTGGCAGGGGGTCAACAAAAAGATACTGATGACTAAATTAAATTCAGCACAGCAATCGGCTTCAATTCTGACTACCAGAGCACTAAGAGGTACACCACAGGCAGCCTTGAATGCGATCTTCAATCTCCAACCACTGGACATTCTGAATAAATTCCAGGCTGCCAGATGTGCCCTGAGGATCCGAGAAACGGATTCCTGGATATCGCTGAACTATGATCACGCCTCAGGCCTCATCGTCCACCATATAAGAAAAAAATCCTGGACTTCCTTAAATAATACTTCAAGATCATCTCCAAAGTTATCCTGTTCATCATCATCACGGACTTCTATTTAAGACGACTTTCCGCTATTCTCTAAAGTCGCTCGGATCAGTAAAAGAAGACATCCTGCTCTTCTGTGAAAGAAACGCGACTGCTCTTCTGCCAAATACATTCTTCTGTCTTTCCATAAAGGAAAATTTTCCGACTCTTCTGGTTTGGAAACATGTTATTATGATTTTCCTTGGAAGAAGTCTATTTGGTATTTTTGGGAAGAAGTCTATGTGGTCTTTTTAAGAAGGCCATCTGATCCTCTTTGGAAAGTCTTCTTTTTTGGAGGAAGATCTTTTGGTATCCTCGTTTGGAAAATGACCCTTTGAACATCTTTAGAAAACCAAATAATTTACTATGTTCATTAATAAAAGCAGACCAGACCCCTGTCTTCCGTTTGAAGATCCAAAGGACTTCTTTAAGACACCTCCCGGTTACATTAAATATAAATAATCTACTAGAATTCTATAAATAAAGTCAAAGAAAAATATGTAGAACAAAGTGTAACATTTTTATGCGGCATTTCTGTGAATAGCAGTTTCGAAGAAGGTTCAAAGAAAACACATTTTCCACTGTTCTTTGTCCTTTATAATACTTTTCCTATTCCATTTAATTTGTATTTTCTTTTCTAACAATTTTTCCTTCTTTCTCTTCCTTTTAACAGAGTCACATTTTGGCTGCTCGCCAAATTGCCTCCACCCTCAAGACTTCATTGGGTCCCAAGGGTTTGGACAAGATTATGGTGAGTCCTGATGGCGATGTTACTGTTACCAATGACGGTGCCACCATTATGAAACTGATGGATGTTGACCATGAAATTGGTAAATTAATGGTACAATTGTCACAATCTCAAGATGATGAAATCGGTGATGGCACCACCGGTGTTGTTGTTTTGGCCGGATCTCTTTTGGAGCAAGCTGAAGCTTTAATTGATCGTGGTATTCATCCCATTCGTATTGCTGATGGTTTTGAGTTGGCCGCCCAGTGTGCAGTTAAACAATTGGAATCGATTGCCGAACCATTCCCCATTGATCCCAATAACAAGGAACCGCTCATTCAAATTGCCATGACCACTTTGGGTTCGAAGATTGTCAATAAATGTCACCGTCAAATGGCTGAAATGGCTGTTGATGCCGTCTTGAATGTAGCCGATATTGAGAAGAAAGATGTCAACTTTGAGTTGATCAAGATTGAGACTAAAGTCGGTGGTCGCATGGAAGATTCCATGTTGGTTAAGGGTGTGGTGGTCGACAAGACCATGAGTCATGCTCAAATGCCCAAAACCCTAAGGGATGTAAAATTGGCCATCTTAACCTGCCCATTTGAACCACCAAAGCCCAAGACCAAGCATAAGTTGGATGTTACCTCCGCTGAAGATTATCGTGCCTTGCGTGAATACGAACAGGAGAAGTTCATTGAAATGGTAAAGAAGGTTAAGGAAGCTGGTGCCACTTTGGCCATTTGCCAGTGGGGCTTTGACGATGAGGCCAATCACTTGTTGTTGCAACATGAATTGCCGGCTGTACGCTGGGTTGGTGGTCCTGAAATTGAATTGATTGCCATTGCCACGGGCGGTCGCATTGTGCCACGTTTCGAGGAATTGACACCCGAGAAATTGGGTACAGCTGGTCTTGTTAGAGAAGTTTGTAAGTAGCAAAAAATACAAATTGAAAAATAGGTTTGTATTTATAAAAATGTTTTTTTTTTTTCTTTTCTTTAGCCTTTGGTACTTCCAAGGACAAGATGCTGGTCATCGAAGAATGCAAAAACTCCAAGGCTGTTACAATTTTCCTACGTGGTGGCAATCAAATGATTACTGCCGAGGCTAAGCGTTCCATTCACGATGCTTTGTGCATTGTGCGTTCCCTAGTAAAGGTAAGCTTTACAAATTGAATTTTTAATGTAAAAAATGAAATAATAATTTTTGTTTTTATTTCTTTAGGATTCCCGCATTGTTTATGGTGGTGGTGCTGCTGAAATTAGCTGTTCACTGGCCGTTGCCAAGGAAGCCGATCAATTGTCCACCTTGGAACAATATGCCTTCCGTTCATTTGCCGTTGCCTTGGAATCCATCCCCTTGGCTTTGGCCGAAAACAGTGGTCTCCATCCCATCGAAACCCTTTCGGAATTGAAGGCACGTCAAGTTGCCGAAAAATGTCCCAGCCTGGGTGTTGATTGTATGCTGAGCGGTGATTCCAACATGAAAACTCACAATGTTGTTGAATCGTTGAATTCCAAGAAACAACAAATCCTCTTGGCCACCCAGCTGGTTAAGATGATTTTGAAAATCGATGATGTGCGCTCAAAAAATCAGGGTGATATGTATTAAATGTATCAAACGCCGTCGTCATCATCCCAAATCTACTATCATTACCCTCATGTCGTCGTCGTTACTTTTATAAAAACTAAATATTAACCCAATTAATAATGGTTATGTTTATTTTAATGCATTTTCACACCATCTCGTATTCTCATTAAGTTCTGCGTATTAATTTTGTTTGTGTTTATCCCCCAATCCATTTTTTATTGTTGGAAAGGCGGTTCAAATGGAGTGTTTAAATAAAAAAGAAACAAAATCCAAGATCAAATAAACAACTGCTTACAAAAATATAATTTTTCGTATATTTATATAAAAAAAAACAACAACGCTTAATTTTAACTACATAATAAAAAATGAAAAAAAAACACGAAATAAATTCAAAAAATGAGGACATTTTCTTTTATCCGACACAATTGATAACTTTGTACCAGAGGAGGGTCTCTTCAACATCTTAGGAAAAACAATGACAACCAAATGCCTTCTAAACCCAAAATAGAACGAACTGCGAAAAATCCAATCTAGGGTTTTACGAGCAAACTTTTCAGTTTAATGGACCTAGGTTATTTCACGTTGGATGGAAAATATTTTGTATATTTTGATAGGTGATTTTTTATAATCGATCAATTTAGCTTTGTTGATTTTAAAGTTTATAAAACCAATGATTGAATATGATGAGGCTTCATATGGCTATTCTATAAAAAGGACCTTCTACTATTTATTCCGTAGAAGAAAACATTCTACCCCTCTAAAAAAGACCTTTACACTTCTGGAAAAGTTGATCTTCAGTTTCAATTGTGAAAGAAGGCGGCCTGCTATTCTATAAAACTAAATTTCCCATCATACCATAATAGGCTTTTCAAAAAGGATACCTTCTGTTCAATTAAAACGTGTTCTCCAATTCAATAAATGAAGTATCCTATAATACCAGGGCAGTTCGGAAAGTTCTTAGCCTAGCACAAAAAGCGCGGTATAAACAGAAAAAAGTTATGTTTTTTGGAAACTTCCATCATTGTTATGACCTGTTTCGATATGAAGGAGTTGTCAGATCGAAACAAAATTTATCATGTGTTCATAACAGAGATGGAAGTTTTCAAAACACCGCGCTTTTTGTGCTAGACTAAGAACTTTCCGAACTGTACTGGTATAACAAGTAGAGAAGTGTCAGTCAGATATATACCCTCAGCCTATGGTTTGCGGAGATCTTCCGAATTACACACAGATTTTATTATTCGCATTATATAAGGTATGTTATTTTATCAAAGAGGCTCAAGATTTACGAACTTGATCTAGGCTTTGTATAGATAATAGAATCGAATAATAATGGATCTATAAATATTCACCCATATTACGGTAGGCGTAGTCGTTGTACGGCAGCTCTCCTCGTAGCCGTAGTCGTTTTTTGTCACTATTATGTAAAATTTTCGACAGCGCCAAAACATTTGTAATAGATTTTTCCTTCAATCTGTTACAAGACCAAAGCAAAAATTTTACTTTTAAAAACGCCATAATTTTTACATTTTTCCAAATTTTATTGAATCTTGCTCTGCGGTATTTTGGCCCATTCCCGACGAAGCGTTTACTGATCGACACTCTGGTATTTTTTAGTGCCAACCTTGCTTTCCAAAATACTTCACACACAATAGTGCAACGGATTGGCAGGCGGAGATTTTGTTGGCCATTGTGCGCTGGAAATGAATCGAGGAACCTCATAAACCAAACCACAAAATGTCATCTCATTCTCCCACTCCATGTAATCCAGAATAATTTTTTCCCGAAGGTGGATTTTCTCGCTTTCGAACATCATTTAGAACAAGGCGAAAGCGAGCATGCGAAAGAAATTCACTCTGAAATGTTGTTCAGAATAAGTCGAAGGGAAAGCGCCAGTAAATTCACCTGGAATTGTCATCCTGAATAAGGCAGTGTATATTTTGTTAGATGTCGTCAATAGAATCTTGCATGACAAATTTGGCGTATTCAAGATCTATTAACAAGGTCACCCTTTGTGGGGGAGGTACCACTAAGGGTTGGTAAAGATAATACGTTTGTTTGGAACAAATCGGACATGTTTACAGTTTATACCATTTGTGGGGGAGGTAACAGAAGGGTTGGACCAATGGGTCCCACCTTCGGACTTCATCTAGGCTTGGTATTCCATGATACCCCCTATGTTATTTTCAAAGAAAAAACTGTACTCTATAGTTTTGTTAAATATCTTTGTGTTTATTCTTAATATAAATATACAAAGGGATTTAAAATAACAACAAAAAAATAAAATAAAAAATCAAATAACACTATCATATACATAATAATTCTAATAAAATTGACCTTTCTCAATTCCCACATTTCATACTTTTTTACCATTAATCTTTGTCAATTGTTTCTTATTGATTTTATCGAAAAACAATAGTCCAGCAGCCCGTTCAATTGACTCTGGCGGTACTTGGAACACAGATAAGGGTGTATCATCACTAATCACTTGATTGGGCATAACATAGGCTTCCATTTCCAAATGATTATCGGCCGTTTCGCCGACAATAATCTTATAGAAATGTGTTGGAACAGCGACATTGTTATTGCCAATTACTTGATATTTAACATATTTCTTGCCATCATCTTCCATTTTGGGTAAATACAGGGGGCCCGTGCAAATATAAACATTGGGATAGATTTTTGTCAGCGATCGTGTATGACTCTCGAGACGTTCCCATGAATCCCGATTAAATCCCTGACCAACTTGTGGTGCCATATTGGTAAGATGAAATGTGTCATCGCAATGTTTTTGATGACGCCTGTGATTGGCAGCCGCCGCCATATGTCCACGATCGAAACCCGAACGGCGATAATCAGAATTTTGTGATTGGAAGTAGGGATGTATACTTTCGTCGGTTTTAAATTCACATTTCGACCGATCGACATTTTCATTTTTGGCAATGGACTCGGCAGTTATATGTTCAAATACCCAGGATGGAACACGATTACGACGATCATAGCTGAGTACAAAATCCGAATAGGAACGCACTGAATCTAAACTGGGGAAACCATATTTCATAATTTCTCCGACTCTTTGTGGTGTGGCGGTTAGACTCACATCGGTTGTGGTGGCAGGTACGGCAGCTGAGACAGTGGCAAACAATGGAAATCCAGGTTTTTGAGAATGCTAAATTGTACAACAATAGAAAGAAATGATTGTTAGCGAAGAAGAGATCGATATAATAACCTACATAACTTTGGTTTTTATATCCTACACCACTCTGGGGTATTACAGGGTATTATGTCTATTGTCTTTGTGTGTATGTAACATGCAGAAGAAAGCGAGATTAGTTACAAAACGATACACGAGGTGGCCCTCTCGTATCGATTACAACGGTATACTTTTTCCTCCAAGATTCCGTTGGGATTTTTGATATTTACTACGGCAACATGGGTATCAATTTAATGTGTTTGAAGTCCTGCTCCGGCTACGGCCCAATCTCTTTTAATTTCAATAGTATTTGTGTAATCTGGATATCCACTGGATACCAATTGATACCCATATTGCCTTAGTAAATTTTAAAAATCATGAGAAAAGGACGAAAGATTAATTACAAAACGATACGCGAGGTGGCCCTCTCGTATCGATTACAACCGTTATACTTTTTCCTCCAAAGTTCCGTTGGGATTTTTGATATTTACCAAAGCCACATGGGTATCAATTTAATGTGTTTGAAGTCCTCTTTTAATTTCAATAGTATCTGTGTAATCTGGATACCAATTGATACCCACATTGCCTTAGTAAATTTTAAAAATCATGAGAAAATGACGAACCATATTGGAAATAACCTGTTCCGATATATGTCCCATATATAATTTAATTTGATCAAAATCACTTATAACGACAAAATTCAAAAATCTCGAAAAATCAGTTCTTTTTTACAATTGCTTATAACAACATATTCCACGATACCTTGACTGTATTTTTCAGCGATTTCGACTGTAAATGGGGGGGTACCAAAGACCCAACGTTTGTTTGACTATAGATTGCCGTGTGTCAAGTTTACTTTAAATCGGTTCGGACTTAAATACAGTTCCGTTTGTCTAATTTTATGTATATTGTTGAGTTTTTTTTTTAACGGTTCAGGTATAATTATAGTCCCCATATATATATTATTTTCCAGATTTCACTTTAGTCTGCTCGGATCACTTTAAATTAAAATGCTACCGATATTGTTTGAAGAAACACTTCCTCGAAGTTTCTAGATCCTAATCTGGGGAGGTATATAGTTCCCTCATGCAAAATGGAAGTACATACTGTAAATATTCCTATGTGATCCAAGCTGATCCTCCGAAATAGTCTTGTCATTGTAACCACTGTTTCCTTTTAAATGTTCCATACTAATACTCATCTCTATATAACACTGTAGAATGGTGCAGACTAGTTTAGCACAGTTTCTGTTCAATTAATAATAAAAAAACGAAAATCTCCTCCCATTCACCTTATGCAAGAGTTCGGCTTGTTGCAGCGGCAATAGTTGACTTATTTTCTTGCGTTCTTGATAGCCACCATAATAATAGGAACCCAAAGCGGCCGAGGTCACTGCAAATAGTGTTCCAGCAACACGTTTATTCATGATGTCCTAGTTTTTATTTAAAAAACAATTACAAATTGTGGTAAATATTGCACGTGAGGTAACAGTTGATATATTTTTTTGCCGGAGCAAAGAATGAACTATGAAGCATTCAATGAAATGAACTAGCAAAACTAGTTCCGTATCGCAGCAACACAAACAGGTGATTCACACACACACATAACAAAATGTAAACACAGGCTATGTTCGTGTAACATTTGGCGGTAGAATTATGGCGCGTTTAGACTTCAAAATCCACTCGATTTCAAATGTCAATTTCATAGAGTATACGTCACGTCAATCGTGTTCACAAATCCAGTGGATTATATTTGACGTATACGTTATGAAATTGACATTTGAAATCGAGTGGATTTCGTAAATCAAAACGTAGTCTTAGTTATGACATAAACATAAAGCTATATAAATCAGCAGATCGAACCAAACCTATGGAAATCAAATCAATGTATTCGACTCCTATGTCATTATTAGTCGAATACATTGATTTCCATAGGTTTCGTTCGATCAGCTGATTGATATTTCTATGTTATAACTAATTATACCCTCAGCCTTATGTCTAATGAGGGTATATACACTTTTGTACGTCAAAAATTTGTCTCATAGAAATATTGGTTTTAGATCCCTTGTTTCTTTGGTTCAAACCCGATTCAGACAAATGTCAGTTCGTCTGTTTTTCTGGTCGGCAGGTGCACACCATGACTCTCGAAAGGAGTAACCGATTTCATTCAAACTTTGCACATCGTAATATTTCTTTCAAACTCAGTTCATGTTCAAAGATGGGGAATATCGGTCCACCACTTCTGGTACCACCCCTACAAAATGGTCAAAATTGTGCAAAATATTAATTTTATAATGTCAATCCGATTTGAACCAAACTTTGTAAAACCTATTAATTTTACCCAGCCCATATCAAGTCCGAAGATGGGACATATGCTCCACTCCGTCTGGTACCTCCACCACAAATTGTCAAAAGTTTCAAACTATATAAATCCAATATCAAGCGAATGTCTGATTTTAACCAAAACTTTATACAACATATTATCCTCACCAAGCCTATAGCAAGTCCGAAGATGGGTTGCATTGGTCTAGTTCTTCTGGTACCATCCATACAAATTGCCACATTTTCAATATTTATAAATCCAATCTAAGGCGAATGTAATGTCCGATTTGAACCAAACATTGCACAACCTATTATCTTTACAAAGCCTAGATCAAGTCGGAAGATTGAACCTATTGGTCCACACTTTCTGAGTATCTTCCCCACAAGTTTCAATATTTATAAATCCAATATCAGGAGAATGGGATGTCCAATTTTAACCAAACATAGCACAACCTACTATCTTTACAAATTGTCACAAGTTTCAATATTTATAAATCCAATATCGGCTTATGGAACAACCGTTCTGTTAACCAGTTGAATTCGAATATGAAATATAAACAAATAATAAATCCTGTGTGTAATTCCGAAGGCCTCTGCAACCTCGAATGACACTTTTTCACTTGTCCATCATATGCATATCAGCTGTTAACAAGTTTAATAGGACCTTAACCATTCTCGGTTTTCAAAAATTATGTTTTTATTTAATTTGGACCTACAGTAAAACGACATATAAATTAGAACTTTTTACTGGGTTAACCTACTTTATGACGATCTAAACTCCTTGTACATTAGAACTTTTTTACCGGGTTAACCTACTTTATGAGGATTTATTTGACGTATATGCAAAGAAATTGACAATTGAAACCCACTGGGTTAACGAAATCTGGTTAAATGTAAACGTACTACTATGTGGCATATATTCAAAGGAATTGACAATTAAAACCCACTGGGTTAAACGAAATCCAGTACAATGTAAACGTACTATAATACAAGAATGTTTCTATCAAATTTCCAGAGATAAGCTCAACAGCTCCAAAAGGTTGAGGTCGTTTTCAAGGTTCATTAAACAGGTCGTGTACGAAGCAAATATTATCGGTAATTTTAGTAAAAAAATTCCCATTCTGTCAAATTTTTTGTTTACTTTTTCATACGCTTAAATCAAAATTCTGACAGCTCGGGTGAAATCATATAAGACGGTCTTATTAATGGGTCATAGGTGTGTTTGTTTATTAACTAATTTCAATAAAAATTAAATACCAATAAGGCCATCAGCTGTCTCTCAAGTTTGCTGTCAAAATCCATTATTGTGAATTGACTTCGATTATGAAAACGTAAACAAAGTCAAAATTTTTGACATTAGACTTGAAAAAAACAGCTGAGTTTCCCTGGCTGTGTGACCTTATTAATAAATATTTATGTATACGTTAACAAATATCTGCTGACTGACCTTATATATTTCCAATACTAGTCTAAATTATTAGGATTTATTTAGAAAATAACTCGATTTAGAAATGATGACTCATTTTTCCATTTTAAAAAGTTTTGTTACAAAAAACTTCAATGACATAAAATCATATTATGTAATCGGCAACGCTTTGTAAAAGGTGTTTCTGGATTTATTGTTTCCATTTAATAAAATTCTAATAACTCTTATTCTATTCTAAAATTTTGATTCTTAATCAATAGTTTTAAAACTAAATATTATTATCGACTAAATTGCCGTCGTAATCTCCAAAATCATATTCTTCAAAGTCATCATCATCAAATTCATCACCTTTTTCGGGACAATGTCGGCATCGGCTTTCGTTTACACCATAATTTATGCACGTCGAACCCACGCATTCACAACAGCCATCATGAAACCATCTATAACTGCTAGCACCGGTACTCCGGCATGTTTGGCGACATTTATTCCATGACACACAATTGTCTAAGTAGACAACGGTGCAGTTTACATGTGAGCCCTGGTGTTGCTGCGAAGGCTTCTTCTTCTTCCGATTTGACTGGGTATTTTCAAAATCAACTTCAAATGTGAATATATTCCAGTTGTACTCCAATTCATCTGTCGGGGATGATACTAGTACATCGAATAGCTCCGGCACCCCTTCAAAATCTTCAACGTGCGATTTTTGGGACAATGAGACTTTGGTGTTATTTGGACAGAGGCCGACACATCCACAGCATTCTTCGAAGTATTTTTTGCCCATGCACATAACACATGTTCGATAACAGGCTGTATCATTTACATCGCACTTACAGCTTTGTGTTAAAATACATTTGGAAACTACTGATCCGCAGATGTCTTCGTTACAGTTTTCCGCACTGATGCACAGGGAAATTTGCAAAATAGTTACCAACAAAACCCAAGGAATTACCAACATTTTAATTGAGACTCGTATTTTCCAATGCACCACTTTGTCCAATACAGTCCTTTCGCAACTGACGACTAATGTACAAATTGTACATCATTTATAGTATTATATTATTTCTTTAGTTACCTAGATTAAAATGCATTACTTGTACCTACTAAAAATATAGAAAACATTGTTCTAATTATATTTTCTTGGGATTTTTTATTATTAGACTGAATGGTTTACTAGTTTTAGGTAGTTGGGACAGTTATTAGTGATGATAGTCATATAACAAGGACACAACGCATATTTTATATTCCCAAAAACAGGTAAGCGGTTTCCAAAGATTAAATTTTAGAACTACCTAGTTTAACTTTTCCTAAAATTTACTGCGCCATATATTTCTTTAAATCCAGATACATATTTCCACATAATATCTCGACTTGTTCGAAATCCTATGCTAAATAGGGAGGCTTTAAAATACAGCTCTACTTTTGCCACAAAAATACATCACTACTCCTAAATCAGCTGATTCATATATCCTTACGGCTTTATGGGTATGTCCATGATGCCAAAATAAGATGATGCATCAAAACAAAAACATTTGATTTTGTCTCGACCATCTGTCAAATTTTTCCATATAATATTTCTCACGGTTAGCAACATTGCACTTCGAATTCAAGTAGAAATTACGCACTTTGACAGTTAATCAAGACATCAGCTGAGCTAAATGGACAACCTATTTATTGTGCCATGGGTATGTCCATGATGCAACATTAAGGTGATGTATCAAAAAAAAAAAAAAAAAAACACTTGTTTTTATCTCGACCACCTGTCAAATATTTGCTTATAATATTTCAAACAGTAGGCAGCAATACACATCGAATTCAAGTAGAAATTAAGAACTTTGACAGTTAATCAAGACATCAGCTGCTCTAACCATAACCATACTATAAGGTCTATCAATCAGCTGATCGATTAATAGCGCCACAATCGACCAAATGAAGAGCAATTCCTATTACAATTTAAAAAAATATTGATTGATTGTAAAAAAGTGGCACAGAAATGATGAAAGCAGTGAAATGTGCATATATACGTAAACAAATAACAGCTGACATTTGCAATTTTCAGTGATTTATGACACAAAAACAGGATTGCATAGTATGGTGTTTTTGTGCCTTGTTTAAAATATATGTCAATGCTTTCAAAAAAATTAGAATACCACCAAATTTTGGAAAAAACATTTTTTTAATCAATTTGCTTGTTTTTGTAACTTGTGAAAAAGCTGGTCTCCCTGTCAAATTGTATCTAGTAATATTTGTCATGATTGTCAACATTGTACGTCAAATTTATGTAGAAACTATGCAGTTTGACAGTTAATCGAATAGTCAGCTGCGCTAAATGGACTAAATCAAGGCCAATTAATAAGGTCATCCAGGGAGAACTGTCGGATATCAGCTGATTCTAAAGTTTGCTATCAAAATTCATTGTTGTGAATTGACCATTAATTTTTGACATTAGACTTGTGAAAAATAGCTGGCTTTTGCTTGCTGGATTTTCGCAAGCAAAAGAGAGTGGGAGAGAGAGAAAATCAACACATTGGCATATTTTACTCTGAGTTTAAGAGCCAAGTAAATTTGCTTCAAAATATGAAATATCAAAATACATACATAGTTGCCACTTAAATTCGACTTGCAATGTTGACAAACATAATAAATGTTACTAGATATTTTTCCTTATGTTTTTCTCCAAAAATTGTTCAGTAACTTCTTTTGAGAAAGTTAACACATTCAAACAATTATTGGTAAATGTAAACGAACTAATTGCACTAAAAATCACAGCTCATCTATAGAATTATAAACATGGGACATTAAAAGATATAATTTTTATTCAGATTTTGATTTTCATGTCTCTTTTTTCCCCAAACCATTTAATTTAAAGATATTTGGTCTGTTCCCGTACCGCAAGAATCTAATAATTTTTTACTATTTTCTTCGATATCATAAAGGAAAATTCGTTATCGTAATAAAAAGTAGTAGATTCTTGCAGTACGGGAACAGACCAATTGTTAAGTCTTATGCAATACCAAAAAGCTCTAAAGTAATTACATAATAATTAACTGAAATTTAAAACATGTTATACAAATTATTTCATAATATTGAGCAGACGAACACATCTATTGTTCGTCTCAATTATAAATCTTATAAAAACAGCTGTTTTTGTGCAAATTCGCTCTGATATAACACCTTATTATTATACAAGGCCGGATGATGTCACTCGAACTGTCAAAATGCTTAATATTTTGACTTAATCATAGGAAAACGTAGACAAACAAATTTGAATGTATGCATATAAGATCTATTTTTCTCAAGTCTAATGTCAAACATTTGGACATTGTTTTCGTTTTCATAATGGAATTCAATTCACAATAATGGATTTTAACTGCAAACTTGAGAAGAAGCTGATATCCAGCTGGTCTCCCTGGATGAACTTATTAATAGACCTTGGTATAAGGGATATTCAACTAAAATCTTACACAACCTGTCATGGTATACTAATAGAAGGTAACAGCAAGTGTTGTTGTACAACAAACGATACAACAACCATATGGAAATTTGTTGTTGTAAGTTTTACTAGTGTCAACATCATTTGACAAAAAAATGTAAACAAACAAATTATCAAAAAATTACATTTATTTTGAAAATGAAATAGTTTCGAATCCTTCAAATAAAATTTGAAAGACATGAATGAAAATCTATCAAATTTATATTTCTATCGCTTCCACATCTTTCCTATAATTGAGCCATTGCCACTTATATGTGTAACACATATGAAAATACAGAAAATTGCGGGTTATTCCATGAAAAAAGATTCGCTACCTCAAACTTTCCCAGCAGGCAATTTCAATTGTTCAATTTCAAATTGTTCATTAGAACTTTTTACCGGGTTAACCTACTTTATGAGGATTTATTTGATATATATGCAAAGGAAATGACAATTGAAACCCACTGGGTTAACGAAATCCGGTTGAATTTAAACGTAGTATAAGACGCGCTCTATTATGTGAATCATAAGGAAATCAGCTGTCATGTAAACAAACAAACAAATTATCATCAAATTATTTTTATTTTGAAAATGGAATATTTTCGAATCCTCAAAATAAAAATTAAAAAACATGAATGAAAATCTATCAAATTTATATTTCTATCGCTTCCACATTTTTCCTTTAATTATACCATTACCATATATATGGGTAACACATATGACAATGCTGGGAATAGCGAGTTATTCCTTCAAGAAAGATTTGCTTCCTCAAACTTTCCCAGCAGGCAGATTGAGTAAATTGAATACGGGAGCACATTAATAAAGAACAATTTCAAATTGTATGCGTTCCCAATTTTCCTGTTGGGTGATTTTTAAAACATAATTTGTCAAATTCATATTGACACTAGTATTACGTTGGAATCAAATCAGCTGGGATTTGCTGTTACCTTTTATAATTGTACCATGGTGTTTAATAAAAAATTATGTTCATTTAAGAAAAATAAAGGTGTTTTTCTTTTTGTTTATAGGTTATGTCATATGAAAAATATATAAGCAGGTTTGAACGCTGCTAATTTTGACACACATAAGGAATTATATCATGAGGAAATCAGCTGTTTGAAAGAAACACATTGTTGGAAGAAAATATTTGAATTGCAAGTCAAAGAAAGGATGAAAAGTCAAAAATTATAAATTGTTATTACGTTTATAGGTGTTTAATAAAAAATTATGTTCATTTAAGAAAAATAAAGGTGTTTTTCTTTCTGTTTATAGGTTATGTCATATGAAAAATACATAAGCAGGTTTGAACGCTGCTAATTTTGACACACATAAGGAATTACATATGGATGAAATAGGTGACCGCACATATGTAAAATACATATCGTGTAAAAACACCATAAGTTCGTTTATTAATAGGCCTCACTCCGTTCTAACAAAAAATAAAACAAAAATAATTTATTTTATTTTTCACAATTCCATTATAAATCAAACATTTATTTGTTTCATTATCTTTTATAGCATTGTCCATTTGTTAAGCAATTAATAACCTAAATAATATAAAAAAAATACTTAGCTGCAAAATAAGAATAATTTTAAAAATTATAAAATAATATTAAAATACTTATTAAAAAAAAAACCCAAAATTTGTAAAAATATGTACTACAATTTTTTTTCAAACTTATGCTATTTCCTTGTGGGGAAGCTATGGAAACCAAACCAATTTTTAAATCTCATGTTTTGTTTTTGATATTAAATTTAAGAGAAATATTTAAGAATAGAAAAAAATGGAAGATTGTAATAGAAAAAAGGTAATAATCACACATCTGTTTAAGCAAACTACAATTAAAAAGTGGAAAATTATAAAAAAAAACTAAAATTAACTTTAAATGCTTAAAAAACATAAAAACTAAATATTTGTTAGGTTAGGTTTAAAATTAGGTTAGGTTACATTGCAATACGATCGGTATTTTTGTTTTGTTTTTTAAACGTTAAAATTTTAGCACGATTCCTTGTTACAATCCACGAAATTACTAAACTCGGTTGCATTCGGTGGCCCCTCACTGTAGAGATAGGTCACAGGCCAAAGACGGGCTGCTGTGAAGTCACTTAAATTCTGTAGGCCACCAGGTCTAGGTGGCTTCTGATATTCTTCGGATGTTGAGGCGGCCGATGAATAGCTATCGGAGGGTTTTCGTTTTTCATTCTGCTTCAGAGGTTTAACACTGAGGCCGGAATGTGTCAGGGTGTGATTGCCGGGGAAATAACGATCGCTACATTTACGCCATTGATCGGGTTCATCGCCCACAAAGCACCTAAGTTAATGAATGAACAGAAGGCTAAGAATTACAACCCATAATGTGAATAAAACCTGGGTTACTTACCATGGATAATCGAATCCCTTGGAATAGCCACATGGATGATCCATTTTACAACAATAATCCCATGAACCAATTTCACCACCCTCAATTTCACACGAATAGAAACCGGTTATTAGATTTTTCTCACATGGACTGCTGCGGCGACAGGGTTTGCCCGATACCGAATAATGGCGCCAAGCCAGATCACCTGGAAAAGGACACCATAAATAACAAAATTTAGCACATAGACCTTTCAGAATCACTATTTCCACCACCTCCATTACCTGGTTCCCTAAATATATCCATGCGACGATTGTTATTAACCCTTGAACCACCAATCGTGTTAACCTTATCCCGACATGTATAATCGAATGGATTCCATGCGAATAACCAAAAATCTCTATCCTCCGTGTGTTTGTAATGGACATTTAATTTCAATTCGGTTTGATCCAAATCGGACATTTCACAATTGAAGGTGGCCTTGCGTGAGCTGTTCGGATGAGAGAGAGATGATGAAAAATGACAAATGAATTTTAACGAAGTTCCAATTTGCCAGGGAAGCAATACACTTACCCATAACTAAAGGAATAACATTTAAATGCTGTTGTATCCCGGAACCGCATACATTCCTTTTTACACTCCATTTCGGAGGGCGTGGTTATAACTTTCTTTATGGCCGGTGGCATAAGCTTGGCAGCCGAACCATAACCCAAATAACAGAATGCTAAAATGTTCAGATTACAGGGAATTTAAATTTTAACTTTCAATACAGAAACATTATCGAAATTCGAAATTTTCGAAATTCGAAAAAATGTTTTTTTCGAACTTTAAAAATAATATTTAAATTTCGAATATTTTTATAAATTATTTTTTTTTGTGTTTTTTTTTAACAATTTCGAATTTTTCAAATTTTTAATACGGAAAATTTTTTGATGTTCGAAATTTTCGAAAATCGAAAAATGTTTTTTTTTAACTTTAAGAATATTATTTTTATTTCGAATATTTTTATAAATTATTTTGTGTAATTTTTTAATATCGATATTCGAATTTCAAAATTAGTAATTCACATTTTCAAAATTATTAATTCAAAAAATTTATAAATTTTTGGTTTTCAAAACTTTTTTTCGAAATTGAAATATAAAATTTAAAAATTTTTTCAATTTCGAAAATATTCCGATTTTTTTTTCATTTTCAAAATTTTTTTCTTACATTTCTTGTGTTTCTCATCGACAATGGGTTGAATTTCACAGCCATGTCCATAACTGGCACGTTCGAAAATATCGAAAGCCTTATCCAAGACCAGATGACGTTCCTTGTCCATATCCCGAACGGGCCAATCGCTCAGCTGACAATTATCAATAACACTGGCATGTCGCATTTGACCATAGCGGAAGGCAAATGCACGACAGGTGAATTTCGTCGATTTTATACATTCCATTTCACATTCACCCACCGAACGTACCGTCAGCGAATCGCGAACAATGGACTTAAAGAATCGGGTGGCATCAATGGCACGGAAGAAGCATTCTGATCGAAAATAGAGAGCGAGAGAGAAAAAAACAATTTTAGTCCCCCGCTTACATCTTCCCCACGCATTCAAAACTTACGAGCATTACGGGGATCTGCCAAGGCCGTGGTTGGTGGGCCTCCTCCTCCTCCTCGTGGTCCATCACTGCGTGATGGTTTGCGGCAAACATTCATATCATCAGACATCGAGTATATATCGTAATTACGATCCGGTTCAATATCCACATAGTAATCCAAACGATTTATGGGTCTGTCACACAACATACAATTGTCCCGACTACCAGACGAATAGCGATACGAGAAGGTGTGACAAATAAATGCATCCTGGCCATAACACAAACGTTCACATTCCGTTAAGCTGGGCGCGGAATAGATGTGTTTTACAATCTTCTTGTGTAAACGGAAACCTTCCGAAGTTTTTGCCGAACATTCTTTAAGGAATAAAATTAAAAATGTTTTAAAAATCTTTTTTTTAAGGATTTTCCTGCTGCTCACCATCTGGTCCCGGCCGCCTTGTCCATTGATGACGATAATCAAAACGATCCGAAAAGCCATCATGTTTATTATAGCCACCATAACTGGATCCGGGATAACTCAAAACCGAATTACTTTCATGTGGCGGCTCACCTTTGCGCGACGGTGGACCCAAATCGAAATAGTTAAAGTCAATGGGATCCCTCGGCTTGGTGCGATGATCTGTAAGACCCCAATAGGCAGTTTGTTTATTACGATAGCCACCATAATTGCCACCATAGGAACCCCATTCATTATCGGTACCAATTAGGTAGGGCACATATTTCCCACCTCCACCACCACCGCCACCACTGGGACTACCACCTTTTTTGTAGGACGACGGGGGGCGATCACGATCTAAATAATTATAGGAAGGTGGTGGTGGACCAGGACGATATGAATCCGGTGCATGGGAACCTGAAGGGCGATATGGTGTGTACTCAGGACCAGGACGATAGGGGGGACGATAACGTTCTGAGGAATGCTTACCACCATCATAGCCACCGCTGCCACTGCCGCTGGGCAAGGCTTCCCATTTCGAGGGATATGGCCTGTAACGATCACGATCCCGATCGCCACCATGATGTATGTCATAACGATCGATGGGCTCCAAACCGGAACCACTGCTGCCATAGCCACTGTGCGAAGAATGTTCGTAGTAACCTGAGCTATGCGAGGAGAATTCATGGGAACCGCTGTGATGTTCATAGGAATAGGGTGGACGACCATGTGACTCATATGAGGGGCCCGATGGCCCCGAAGGACCATAATGTTCCAACGACGAACTACTGCTACTGGGCGGAGGACGACTATAGTAGCCGCTGCTGCCTCCACTTGGCGGTGAGGGTAGATAATGATCATCCCTATAAGGTGGCTTGTCACTCCATGCCCCACTGGGCTTATTGTAATGCGATGAGGAGGGTGCCAAGGGCGGAGGTGGCAATTTACTGGTACAATCTCTACACACATTATAACGACAGCTGGGTGGGGCATTACGATCCCTTTCATAATAATCATAATCTGGATGCCGCAACAAATTCGAATCTCGACGATTAGCGCTGGAGTACAAATCAATTTGGGCCAAGGGTATTTCGATTAGCTCACAATCACCCTGACCATGACCCGAAGGATCGAGGCGATAATTGAAACCCTCACAGGTGAAACGTTTTTCACGGCCACATTCACGCATACACTCTTCGACGCGTTCACATGCTATGGTCCGTCGCACCCAATGTGGGGCAACTCGCTTGCCGGCCAGCACACGTCTAAAGCAAGCTGCAGATCACAAAGACAGCGATAACAACAAAAAGAAGAAAACAAAGAGAATGGAATAAATTTGCTGAAGAAAAACATATTTTGGCGAAGTTTAACGGCTAATAAAATTAATGGCTTCTTTAGTTTTTGGCAAAACATACATTAAATTAATTCAATCCCCTCTCTCTCCTGGTGCTAAAGGGTAACTTTTTTATGGTGATTAATGTAAACATTGGCTATAGTAGTTTTCCACCTGCGATTTTTTCCTACCCAATTCATTTGTGAGAATTTCCAACGCTTCGTATCGCAACCATCATCAACTGCTGCCATCGCTTCTGCGATTTGCAAATTTATGCCACCGTTTGAAGGTCGGTAAAGCGCGACTTTACGCTTTGGAAGGGATTAGCTGCAGTTGATTTACGTTTTGTCACTTCACTAGAAACGGATGTGGCCAAAGCCATCTTCAATTGGCATTGAAAAACTTCAAACGGGTAATGGGGAAATAACAGATACAGTCAGCATTGTTTACATCGATGGGAAACATATAAAAATAATGGAGATTATCCATAGATGGCGTTGATAATCTATGAATAATTTGTTTCTTTGTTGTAATTGATGTCTGTGTTGTTGTTGTGTGAGTTATTTATGTTATTTCGATAGATAGACCAAAGACTTCATCAACTGCTTGCGGGACATTTTTAAATTCTTTAGAAAGTTTTAGTATATTCCTTTCCACTTCAACATTGAACATTTATTCGTGAAATATCGGCCGAAATATTGGAAAAAGTATGCTGAGATTGGATTGAGATTTCAGTTTCTATACCCTTCACCACACTGTGGTACAGGGTATTATGTCTTTGTGCATATGTTTGTAACAGACAAACATAATCGAGATAGACCCATGGTTCCTTTTGAGAATATGCATAGAATCACCTTTCTGAGTCGATGTATGCCGTCCGTCTGTCCATGTATTTTTCTTAACAAAGTACAGGTCGCATTTATGATCCGATTTGGATGACATTTGGCACAGGTCACTTAATTGGCCTAAGGACGAACCCTATTGAAATTGGGAAAAATCGGTTCAGATTTAGATATAGCTCCCATATATATTTTTGTCCGACTTAAGGTAAATGGTGCACCAAAGTCCATATATATCTTTCGATTTGCACGAAATTTGGCACAGCGTAATGAATAAGGTCAAGAATGATGTGTGTTAAGTTTCCTGAAAATCGGTTCAGATTTAGATATAGGTCCCATATATATCTTCGTCAGATTTAAGGTAAATGGTGTACCAAATCCCTATATATCTTTTGATTTGCCCGAAATTTGGCACAGCGTAATGAATAAGGTCACGAATGATGTGTGCAAAGTTCAGATTTAGATATAGCTCCCATATATATTTTCGTCCGATTTAAGGTAAATGGTGTACCAAAGTCCCTATATATCTTTTGATTTGCCCGAAATTTGGCATAGCCAGATGGATTAGGTCTAAAGTGATGTGTGTTAAGTTTCCTGAAAATCGGTTCAGATTTAGATAGAGCTCCCATATATATTTTCGTCCGATTTAATGTAAATGGTGTACCAAAGTTCCTATACATATTTCGATTTGCACAAAATTTGGCATATCGTACTTAATTAAGTATAGAACAGTGCACGTTAGGTTTCGTGAAAATCGGTTTGGTTTTACATATAGCTCCTATATAAATTTTCGTCCGATTTAATGTAAATGGTGTACCAAAGTCCCTATACATATTTCGATTTGCACAAAATTTGGCATAGTGTACTGAAATGAATCTGGAGAGATGTGTGTAAAGTTTCCTGAAAATCGGTTCCGATTCATATATACCTTCTATATATTTTTTCTTCCGATTTTATGTAAATTGTGCACTAAAGACCCAAAGTTTGTCCGATTGCCACACAATTTTGTACAATAAACTGTAGTTAATATAAGTTAATCTCTGCCATTTGGATAGAGCTTCTATATATATTTTCTCCCGAGTTTTGGTAATTTTGTCCCATTGTAAGAAGCAACCCTATATCTGAACAAATGAAAAATTTAGTATGGGTTGCAGAATTCGACGTCTGTTAGTATTCATCTGTTGAATATACCCACAGTGGTGAAGGGTATCATATAGTCGGCCCCGCCCGACTTTACTACTTTCCTTACTGGTTTTTATTTTTGAATTTTATGTGTTATTTGAAAATATTTCCTACAGCTCATACAAAGTCAACCTGTAAAAAAATTACAGCCTGTTTTTGTAAAATTCTAAACGAACGAATTCGAGTGACTTACGACCAAACTCCTTGGTTTTGAAAAATATGTCATTTATTTTTGTTTTGAATCAAAAACTATTTGTTTTCATAAACAAAGGTTTGGTCGTAAGTCACTCGAATTCGTTCGTTTAGAATTTTACAAAAACAGGCTGTTAATGTCACTTTGTCACTTCATAAGGCAGCTAGAAACTAGAAGAATTCTAGAATTGCACGTGGCCGGATTTTACTCTGTTTCAATATATTGATTTGGGGAAAAATAAATCCATTATTTTTATATGCACTATAGGGCAAATAAATTTTTTTGTCATTTTAAAGGTAACTTCATAATGGCTCTGTTATAGAAGTCCTGCTCTCTATTTGCAAAAAAAAAAAAAAAAAAAACTGTAGAAGTCGATTTTCACCATCCTCCCTAAATACCAATTTTTTATCATTAAATAAATTTAGCAATGCAAGAAATTTGGTGCCAAGTCCGGACTGTATGGCGGATGCATTCAAACTTTCCAACCAAGCTCCCGAAGTTTATGGCGAGTCATTGTAGATGTGTGTGGCCTAGCGGTGTCCAAGGTGGAACACGTTGGCCAATTCTGGCCGTTTCTGGTCTATTGCTATCTTCAAGCGGTTCAGTTGTTGACAGAAGAGATCAGAATTTAGCGTTTGCAGAGTTTTTGTAGTCAATTTTCACAATACTCCTTAGATACCAATTTTTTCTCTTTAAAGAAATTTTGTAATGCAAGAAACATATGATAATTGCTTTGTGCCAAGTCCGGACTGTATGGCGGATGCATTAAAACTTCCCAACTAAGCTTCCGAAGTTTCTGGCGTGTCACTGTAGATGTGTGAGGCCTAGCGTTGTCCTGGTGGAACACAACACCTCTCTTGTTTTCCAATTCTTGCCGTTTCTGGTCAATTTCTATCTTCAGTTTGACCATATAGAAGCAACTCATAATTAATAATCCCCTTACAGTCCCACCAAATGCTTAGCAGAACCTTCCTGGCCGTTAGTCCTGGTTTGGCCACCGTTTCAGTTGCTTCACCGCTCTTTGACCACGATCGTTTTGGCACAGGGTTATCGAATGTGATCCATTTCTCATCTCTAGTCACCATCCATTTAAGAAATGGGTCTATCTCATTCCGTTTGGGCTTCGCCATCTGCGAAGGAAATTCGATCCATGCTTTTTTTTCTGTTTATTGGTGTCGCACCCATACATCAAGCTTTTTTTTATACCCTTCACCACACTGTGGTACAGGATATTATGTCTTTGTGCATATGTTTGTAACAGGCAAAAGGAAACGAGATAGACACATGGTTCCTTTTGAGAATATGCATAGAATCACTTTCTAAGTCGATTTATGCATGTCCGTCCGTCCAAAGTACAGGTCGCATTTGTGAACCGATTTGGATGAAATTTGGCACAGCTCATTTATTTGGCCCAAGGACGAACCCTATTGAAATTGGGAAAAATCAGTTCAGATTTAGATATAGCTCCCATATATATTTTCGTCCGATTTAAGGTAAATGGTGCACCAAAGCCCCTAAATATCTTTCGATTTATATGAAATTTGGCACAGCGTACTGAATTAAGCCTAGAATGATGTGTGCTAAGTTTGGTGGAAATCGATTCAGTTTTACATATAGCCCCATAATAGCTTTTGATTTGCACGAAATTTGGCACAGCGTACTGAATTAAGCCTAGAATGATGTGTGCTAAGTTTGGTGGAAATCGATTCAGTTTTACATATAACCCCATATATATTTTCGTCCGATTTAAGGTTAATGGTGGACCAAAGGTTAAGGTTAATGGTGGACCAAAGTTCTTCTACATCAGTCTTATTTGCGCTCAGATTCGAGCACCTCCATATACATAAGACCACCAGGATTTCACCTGATCAAACAACGAGAAATCATGTTGTGATAGACGGAAGGCATTCATCCAGTGTTTTTGGAGCGAATAACAATTCGGACCACTACCTTGTAGCAGCAAAGGTTCGCACTCGCCTCAATGTAGCATCAAAGATGCGATCTAATGTAACACGAAACTCGACGTCGAAAAGCTGCAAACACAACAGATAGCAGAAGCCTTCACCCAACTGCTAGACGAAATCACTCCTTGTCCCGATAATAATATAGAAGCACAATGGCAAATAATTGTCCACTCTCTACAAACTGCAGCAAAAATAACACTTGGGTACCAAAAACCACCATCAAGAAACACATGGTACGATCAGGAGTGTCGTAATGCTACTGCAGGGGCAAACCTACAAACAGTAGCAACACGAAATGCGAGAGAGAATTATAGGGAGAAAATGAGAGAGAGAGGAGAAACGTATTTTCAGAAAAAAAGAAGAAAGAACAAGAAAAACGTGAGCGTGAGCAAATCGACATGCACAGGAGTCAGAATGAAGTCCGGAAATTTTTACCAACGAGTAAAACACCAAACCGAAGGCTTTGGCGCAGGCACATCCTCCAGTAGAGATGAAGAAACCTGGTGACAGATACAGACAGCGTGTTGAAGATCTGGAAGGAGCATTTTGAAAAGCTTCTGCTATTAAATATTGGCGGTGAAGAAGATACCCCAGAATCAATAAGAGATGACCTCATCTAGCCAATATGTGATCAGAGTAACAAGCAATCGGTTGAAGAATAAGACAAGACAAGAGATATGTGCCAACTATATAGGAATTGGTCTTCTTCCCATCGCATATAAAGTGTCATCCAGCGTACTGTGTGAACGACTGAAGCCAATGGT